CTTATAAAGTTGAAAAATAACGCGATGAAAAAAAGCGCGAAATCGGAGTTCAAACGTTTCACTATTTTTCCCAGACTTTTCTGGGGAATACGGGTTTCAACAGCTGGGCTGCGCTCATAGCACGTGCGCAGTGAAATACGTTCGCGCAACTTGGAAGCGGGCTGTCTGGTGAATACTCAGTGAAGGCTTTGGTGTGAGCCATTTTATAATGTTTTGTTGATATCTCACAGGCGCGAGCTTTTTATATGTTATGACAGTAAATAAACTGTTTATATAATTTCATTTGTCTATTTCACCACACGTTCTTCTTATCGAGTCACTTTCTCAGTTAGATACTTAAAAGCAATGTCATTATTTAGCGTTGACACAATTTCTAACTGTGATATAGATATGTCGCTGTCACAGACAAAACTCAATGTCTTGTTTTATTGACACCTGTGTGTCTGCCTGCCTGTCTGCTAATGGTCAGTGATAGCAGCTGTGTATTGAATATTGTCATTGATTGATTTCTAGAGTCCCATTACCACTTGGCAGAAACTAATTTTATGTATTAATAACATACAAATATCTGAAAATGTTGAAAACCGTTAACAGCTGTAAAATAAATAAGCATTGAGTAAAAACATATTTTCGTTTACAGTTTCACACTACATATATATACTTTATGAATATATACATCACGCAGTTGCTAGACAATACATGCCAGTAGAGCATTGTAGATAGACAACACATGCCAGTAGAGCATTGAAGATAGACAGTACACGCCTGTAAAGCATTATAGATAGACAGCACATGCCTGTAGAGCATTGTAGATAGACAGCACATGCCAGTAGAGCATTATAGATAGACAATACACGCCTGTAGAGTATTATAGATAGACAATACATGCCAGTAGAGCATTATAGATAGACAACACATGCCTGTAAAGCATGGTAGATAGACAATACATGCCAGTAGAGCATTATAGATAGACAATACACGCCTGTAGAGCATTTTAGATAGACAGTACACGCCTGTAAAGCATTGTAGATAGACAACACATGCCAGTAGAGCATTATAGATAGACAACACATGCCTGTAGAGCATTGTCGATAGACAGTACACGCCTGTAAAGCATTGTAGATAGACAACATATGCCAGTAGAGCATTATAGGTAGACAATACATGCCAGTAGAGCATTGTAGATAGACAACACATCCCAGTAGAGCATTGTAGATAGACAACACATGCCAGTAGAGCATTGTAGGTAGACAATACATGCCAGTAGAGCATTGTAGATAGACAACACATGCCAGTAGAGCATTTTAGATAGACAGTACACGCCTGTAAAGCATTGTAGATAGACAACACATGCCAGTAGAGCATTATAGATAGACAACACATGCCTGCAGAGCATTGTCGATAGACAGTACACGCCTGTAAAGCATTGTAGATAGACAGCACATGCCTGTAGAGCATTGTAGATAGACAGCACATGCCAGTAGAGCATTATAGATAGACAACACATGCCTGTAGAGCATTATAAATAGACAATACACGCCTGTAGAGTATTATAGATAGACAATACACGCCAGTAGAGCCTTATAGATAGACAACACATGCCTGTAAAGCATTGTAGATAGACAATACATGCCAGTAGAGCATTGTAGATAGACAATACATGCCAGTAGAGCATTATAGATAGACAATACACGCCTGTAGAGCATTTTAGATAGACAGTACACGCCTGTAAAGCATTGTAGATAGACAGCACATGCCAGCAGAGCATGATAGATAGACAATACACGCCAGTAGAGTATTATAGATAGACAACACATGCCTGAAAAGCATTGTAGATAGACAATACATGCCAGTAGAGCATTATAGATAAACAAGACACGCCTGTAGAGCATTTTAGATAGACAGTACACGCCTGTAGAGCATTTTAGATAGACAATACACGCCTATAGAGCATTTTAGATAGACAGTACACGCCAGTAGAGCATTGTAGATAGACAATACACGCCAGTAGAGTATTATAGATAGACAATACACGCCTGTAAAGCATTATAAATAGACAACACATGCCTGTAAAGCATTGTAGATAGACAATACATGCTAGTAGAGCATTATAGATAGACAATACACGCCAGTAGAGCATTATAGATAGACAACACATGCCTGTAAAGCATTGTAGATAGACAATACACGCCAGTAGAGTATTATAGATAGACAATACACGCCAGTAGAGCATTATAGATAGACAATACATGCCTGTAAAGCATTGTAGATAGACAATAGATGCCAGGAGAGCATTATAGATAGACAATACACCCCTGTAAAGCATTGTAGATAAACAATACATGCCAGGAGAGCATTGTAGATAGACAATACATGCCAGTAGAGCATTATAAATAGACAACACATGCCTGTAAAGCATTGTAGATAGACAATACACGCCTGTAGAGCATTGTAGATAGACAGTACACGCCTGTAGAGCATTTTAGATAGACAGTACACGCCAGTAGAGCATTATAGATAGATAATACACGCCCGTAGAGTATTATAGATAGACAATACATGCCAGCAGAGCATTACAGACAGACAACACATGCCTGTAGAGCATGATAGATAGACAATACACAAATGGAAAGCTTTTGACATCAAGTCAAAATTTGTACGTGGAATTGAACAGTAATTGACTGTGTTTAACATTGATTTGAACGCTTATAGGAGCGAGCAAATGGCCGTTCTTGCGCCCATGAGAGTCGTCTTCAGTCAGACTGGTGTGTTATTAAAGGCGCTACATTTACTTGGATTGCGGCTACAAAATAACAATGATTTTCCTCTCGAATTGCATAAATTAGGCATAGAGGCGAACACACTGCGTGAACCCCCACGCCTCCATGTTTAACGTTTGCCATGTGAGTTGCCCAGAGGTGTTATCCGCACACGGGAGCTACACGTGTCAGCGATATTTGGTGTTCCTCTCTGTATAAACAAGCCGTGCCACATGTATGCAGCTTGTGTGTTTATACAGACAGATACAATATGTAATAGTAGAAGCAAATGCCCCATAAACGATCTCTCTGGGTTTGCATGAAACAGATTTCTGGATTGTGTCCGTGCTAAACGATTGTATTCGCCCCAACATAAAGGTTTCTGGTCGAAGTAGAAGATATCCGATTTGGCAATATTGGTTGCGTAGGCGAAGTTAAGTGGAGTCTTTCTCACAGAATATGGTAAGCACTCGGGCATGTGGTAAACACATTTTATGTTTGTCTTCATGAAATTTCACTATGTGTCTGCTGATGGACAAGCAGACGGGTCAAGGACTTGATCAACAAGTTTTGTTTTTATTTCCATGTATAGTTTCCTAAATTTTCAAGTGAACGTAATTCTGTTCATGAAAATCATCTCAGACGTTTATCACCAATTTCAACGTGATAAACGTTGATGGACAATGTATATTGGACCTGTTCTGCTCCGACACATGATATATTGGACCTTTTCCGCTCCGACACGATATATTGGACCTACTCTGTTTTGGCACATAGTATATTGTACCTACTAAGATTCGGCACATGGTATATTGGACCTATTCTGCTCCGACGCATGGTATATTGGACCTACTATGTTTCGTCACGTGGTATATTGGACCTATTCTGCTCCGCATATGATATTTTGGACCTACTATGTTTCGGCACATGGTATATTAGACCTTATATGTTTCGGCACATGGTATATTAGACCTACTATGTTTCGGCACATGGTATATTGGACCTATTCTGCTCCGACACATGGTATATTAGACCTACTATGTTTTGACACATGGTATATTGGACCTACTATGTTTCGGAACATGGTATATTAGACCTACTATGTTTCGGCACATGGTATATTGGACCTACTACGTTTCGGCACATGGTATATTGGACCTACTACGTTTCGGCACATGGTATATTGGACCTACTATGTTTCGGCACATGGTATATTGGACCTACTATGTTTTGGCACATGGTATATTGGACCTACTATGTTTTGACACATGGTATATTAGACCTACTATGTTTTGGCACATGGTATATTAGACCTTCTATGTTTTGGCACATGGTATATTGGACCTACTATGTTTTGGCACATGGTATATTAGACCTACTATGTTTTGGCACATGGTATATTGGACCTACTATGCTTCGGAACATGGTATATTGGACCTTTTCTGCTCCGCCGCATGGTATATTGGATATACTATGTTTCTTCACATGGTATATTAAACCTATTCTGCTCCGACACATGGTATATTGGACCTACTATGATTCGGCACATGGTATATTGGACCTATTCTGCTCCGACGCATGGTATATTGGACCTACAATGTTTCGGAACATGGTATATTAGACCTTATATGTTTCGGCACATGGTATATTGGACCTATTCTGCTCCGACACAGGGTATATTAGACCTACTATACTTCGGAACATGGTATATTAGACCTACTACGTTTCGGCACATGGTATATTGGACCTACTATGTTTTGACACATGGTATATTGGACCTACTATGTTTCGGTACATGGTATATTGGACCTACTATGTTTTGACACATGGTATATTGGACCTACTATGTTTTGACACATGGTATATTGGACCTACTATGTTTTGACACATGGTATATTGGACCTACTATGTTTCGGCACATGGTATATTGGACCTACTTTGTTTCGGAACATGGTATATTGGACCTACTATGTTTCGGCACATGGTATATTGGACCTTCTATGTTTCGGCACATGGTATATTGGACCTACTATGTTTCGGAACATGGTATATTGGACCTACTATGTTTTGACACATGGAATATTGGACCTACTATGTTTTGACACATGGTATATTGGACCTACAATGTTTCGGCACATGGTATATTGGACCTACTATGTTTCAGCACATGGTATATGGGACCTTTTCTGTTCAGGCACATGGTATATATGGGGCCCCGTCTAAACAGACACGGGTGCTTACTTTGAAAAATGCTTGTTCTGACTTAAGCTGTAGAGACTGGTTAGCCCACAGATGAAGGCGATCATGACGGTGAAGTAGATGAAGATGAACTTGCCCACATCCTGCAACATCCTGCCATATGAGATCTGAAGCTGGCCAAACGTCTCGCTGGCCGGGAGGATATAGGCAATTCTGGCGAAGCTCAGCACATTGGCAACGGAAAAGAGGACCTTGGACAGTATCTGAGGGTTTGGGATACTGTCATCTAAAACATAATGAACTTGATTAAAACGGGTTGTAAAATAACAAACGCCTAAACATCATGTTAAGCCTGCAAGACGGATTTTCCCGGGGTGATCAGAAGCCATCAGATTCAGGTCGAGCATGTGGCGGCCTTCAGTTTCGTCTAAATAGAAAAATACAGTATTTACTCCCACCGCCGAGTGCACTCTGTGAGAGGCGATGAGAGGAACAGGCTGACACCTGCACTGTGGTACTGATATGTGCAGCTGCCTACTGCATCGCGCATGACTAAAACCAGTCTAGAAAGGTGCAACATTTCAACATAAAAATAGTATGGTACAAATAGACAGAGAGAAGGAGGTTTCACTAGCAGTGAAGGTGGCGCGATGAAAAGGAGAGGGTAGACTGAACAGCGAATTTCAGAACTCGGTTGTACATTGTCGATTCCCGAAGAAATGTTATAAATGAGTTCAGCATTATATCCTTCTGGGGAAACCAGAATTTGGAATCGGAATTGGGTCTTTGGCGTGACGAGCAAACGCTTTAACAAATTATATTACCCATCTCTTATAGTGTATGGGACTAATTTGGAAGCGTTTAACATAATATTGAACTTGTAAAAGTGCCTTTCCCACACAAACGCTCGGCCATTAATATAGAAACACAATGATTTTCTTAAATATCAGAAAACAACCGAGCCTTAAAGGTGAATACCAACGCCAAACATTTTTTCAAGGGGTAAAAACATTTTAAAAGTCACCTTCCATGATTGAAAAGTGAACAAAAAGTTTGTAAAATCGCAAAAGAAAATACGCACTCGTATTTGCAGTTGGATCCTACTACATGTGACATGTATCCTACTAAATGTGACATGCATCCTACTACATGTGACATGTATCCTACTACATGCGACATATGTATCCTACTACATGTGACATGTATCCTACTACATGTGACATGTATCTTACTACATGTGACATGTATCCTTCTACACGGGGCGGTGGGGTAGCCTAGTGGTTAAAGCGTTGGCTCGTCACGCCGAAGACTCGGGTTCGATTCCCCACATGGGCACAATGTGTTAAGCCCATTTCTGGTGTCCCCCGCCGTGATATTGCTGGAATATTGCTAAAAGCGGCGTAAAATTAAACTCAGTCAGTCAGTGTATCCTTCTACATGTAACATGTATCAGGACGTTTGGCTGGGCTGATTTCGTAATAAACAAATATTTATGTTTTTTAATAAAGATTATTCATTTGTCGGATAGGTGCACATTTAGAACGCATTGCAGGTTTTAATCATTTTATGCCATTTAGCAGCTTGTAAAGCCCGCGCGTAGCGAAACGGGGAATTACGTGACGTCATTAGGAAGCCTATTGACACCGGTGAATCCTGTGAATCTCCTGAATAAATCTGCCTATTATTTGGCAAACGGAAGAAATGGTGGCTCTTTCCATTGTTTCGTGACGCCATGCATCCCCAACACAATACACCATCTTATCATTTGTGAAAACAAAGACAGTAAGAAGCGGTTTACATTACTCTAGCGCTTGGTGTTAGGCGATATGGCCGACTTCAGTCACATATGACGTCACGAGTGAAAAGGTCACGTGAGGTGTCAGCGGAATATGCATAATGGCCGAAGGTGAGATGACAAAAACTGTTTTCGCGATTAAAATATAAATAAAAATACCTTGCATGAAAAATTGATGAAAATGTTTCTGATGAGTTTATATTTCACCCAGTCATTTAATGAAATGTTCTAGTATTTTCCTTTAAGTAATTATTATTTGCCTTAAGTAGCGCTTACCACCATTCCAGTTATATGACGGCGGTTTGTAAGCAATCGAAACTGTTCATCGCCTCTTACCGACAAGCATGAATAGCTGAAGATCAAAGCTACGCCTTTACCGTATTAGTGTCAGTCTGTGTCAGTTTCCATTGAGGGGTTCAACAAAAACTGATAATATTACAAAAATGTCGTCACCTTTACAGACTGGTTCATACTGCTCAAACACTTGACCAATATGACTCTGGAGCAAAATATCGTCTTATCTATAATTCAGTTCCTATTTGTTCTTAAACGTCAACTTGTTGTCAAATTAATACAACGTGTATAGGCACTGAATGATATCGAATAATATAGATAATCTTACCTTCACGCCATTTGAAACTATATCTATCAATTTTATATTTGACACAAAACGTTTTATTTGATTTGATAGAATTGGTATTGTGTTATATTTTGCAAGAAGTTGACAACATGTGCTCACCTACCCTCGCTTGTTATCAGACCGGTGGTGTGAATGTCTCTGGCCTTCGTGTAGATAACCCCCTCTATCGCATACGAGGCCGTGTACAGAGCCAACATCATGATGTCCATGTAGTTCCATATCTGGGAGAAGTATTCTCTCACACCTTCCTCCCACAGCTGTTTACACTCCGCCCAGAACATGCCTGTATATAACAGAGTGCATGGCTATTATATACAGATCTGGGAGAAGTATTCTCTCACACCTTCCTCCCACAGCTGTTTACACTCCACCCAGAACATGCCTGTATATATCAGAGAGCATAGTTATCATATACAGATCTGGGAGAAGTATTCTCTCACACTTTCCTCCCACAGCTGTTTACGCTCCACCCAGAACATGCCTGTATATAACAGAGTGCATGGCTATTATATACAGATCTGGAAGAAGTATTCTCTCACACCTTCCTCCCACAGCTGTTTACACTCCGCCCAGAACATGCCTGTATATAACAGAGTGCATGGTTACCATATACAGATCTGGGAGAACTCTCACACCTTCTTCCCACAGCTGTTTACACTCCACCCAGAACATGCCTGTATATATCAGAGCGCATAGTTATCATATACAGATCTGGGAGAAGTATTCTCTCACACCTTCCTCCCACAGCTGTTTACACTCCGCCCAGAACATGCCTGTATATAACAGAGTGCATGGTTACCATATACAGATCTGGGAGAAGTATTCTCTCACACCTTCTTCCCACAGCTGTTTACACTCCACCCAGAACATGCCTGTATATATCAGAGCGCATAGTTATCATATACAGATCTGGGAGAAGTATTCTCTCACACCTTCCTCCCACAGCTGTTTACACTCCGCCCAGAACATGCCTGTATATAACAGAGTGCATGGCTATTATATACAGATCTGGGAGAAGTATTCTCTCACACCTTCCTCCCACAGCTGTTTACACTCCACCCAGAACATGCCTGTATATATCAGAGAGCATAGTTATCATATACAGATCTGGGAGAAGTATTCTCTCACACCTTCCTCCCACAGCTGTTAACACTAGTTGTAGTAGTAGTAGTAGTAGTAGTAGTAGTAGTAGTAGTAGTAGTAGTAGTGAGCTTGTGTCACATCGTACCTAATACATAGAACATGATGAGGCTGTTGACGGTACCCTTTGTCCCTTCAAACAAGTCGACATGGTCAGAAGACTCAAGTGTGGTGGCCACGAACAGCAGGATGAGGAACGCCGTGTAAGAACAGATATAGTTCATGAACTTCATGAAAGGGCTCCGCAATACCTCACCAATCTGAAACACCCTGATATAGATCACCATTCCAAGAAAAATGTCATAGAACAAAACATTGTATTCACAGGACATTTTGCTGAAAAAGGCTACCCTCTGACCGAGGTTGCTGAGGGGGTACCTTGGAGTAGGGCAGGAATACGTAGACGATGGCTGTGACAGGTATGAACATGATTCCAAGCGGTGCCAGGAACAGCTTCATCATGACCGGCTGATGCTGGAACCACGGCACGCCAGTGTACCACATGCTCATCAGATGCTCCTGCGAACTGGCGTGTGCAATGAACTACAAATACAACACATGATCATAGTTTACAGAAACCAGTTGATTCTGTTGAAACAGCATGTTATCTGTCATTGCTTGTCTCAATGTTTGGTCTGTGTATATTTTGTTTCTATGGTCATTATCTAAGTTAGAAATTCTGTTCGTACATTTCAGTGGAAGAGAATGGAAATTTAAAAATGGCATGGCTTCCATCGCATTTGCGATGGCGGAAGCTACAATACCTTATTACCACAGCTTTCAGTGACCGCAAATATTCTGCAATAATATCACTGTGAAGCTCTCTGAAAATCCTGTGGTGTCTTAACTGTAGGATGAACACTAGTATTTGCAGTGCCATTCAGGGTTGTCTTAACTGTAGGACGAACACTAGTACTTGCAGTGCCACTCAGGGTTGTCTTAACTGTAGAATGAACACTAGTATTTGCAGTGCCACTCAGGGTTGTCTTAACTGTAGGATGAACACTAGTACTTGCAGTGCCACTCAGGGTTGTCTTAACTGTAGGATGAACACTAGTACTTGCAGTGCAACTCAGGGTTGTCTTAACTGTAGGATGAACACTAGTACTTGCAGTGCCACTCAGGGTTGTCTTAACTGTAGGATGAACACTAGTACTTGCAGTGCCACTCAGGGTTGTCTTAACTGTAGGATGAACACTAGTATTTGCAGTGCCACTCAGGTTTGTCTTAATTGTAGGATGAACAATAGTATTTGCAGTGCCACGCAGTTGGCAGCGCAAATATTCTGCAGGTTTGTCGCATGTATCCTTTTGTTAAAACGACGTCCCGTAGGATACTTGTAGGTTAAAGACAAGCATCCTTCTGTACAACCCATATATACCTTTGCAAAAAAATGGGCGAAAAGTGGGAATATGATTCTATCGTCTTTGGCAAATGTATATCAATATTGAAGCAGCTTATGTGACAAAGACATGATTGTAATATTGTCCTGTATGGTCGTGTTCTTCTGTTCTGGCCTCCACGAGTACAGCCTTCCTTATCCTGCATGCAACACTTTAACCCCATACGCCTAAACTAACGGGTACATACATGTACATTCTTTTAACAATAGTTCAGTGAAATGCGTTTGAGTTGAGTGTTGTAACAATAATCTATCGCTACCGAGGACCCTTCTGATGCTGGTGGTGGTGATTTTGTCATCTCAACGAAACCAACATGACAGATTGGACAAAAGCATAAAAACATTTTAGATTCTTATTGTATATTTCAACTTCTCCAGCAAATATATGATGTTGAAGAAAAGAGTGAAATACGAATGTGGACAAACTACTTGCTGTTGGCGAACTGTACTATAGGAAAAGTACACAATAGTTTGTAAACAAATTATGCGAAATATTATCTACCTTCTTCTGTTCGTATTTGATGGCCTTTTTTATTCTTGAGAGATCTCGCACATTAGATCCCCCGTGAAGGGCTGCCATGACTTCCTCGTTAGACCTACACAGATCCAGAAGCTCCACCGCATACCTCTTGCATTGTTCACTCAGGGCCTTGTACTCGTTCTGTGAAAACATTGCTCAAATATAAAACGGGAATAGGCTGCTTGTACCTCCTGCTCCAATGTATATTCTACTATGAAACTGGATAATACTTGAGTATGTTTCGTCAAATAATATCGCAATCGGGTACCTAATTCAGTTAAATACCTCACAGTAAACGTGTCTTTCCACCTCAACTCCTGCGTATGAAAACAACGATCCATCGTTGCCGATAACCCATTTGAACTATATACGATCGATATAAAACAGATTATCAAACATGGCGAAATCGGGTTTATCACCACGCGTACGATTATGTAAAACACGCATTAACATCTGTCAGAGCCAAGCAAACATCGGTAACAAAATGTGCACTGGCTCAGACTATCTGAAACTCTCCAGCTGAAAACAGCGGTATAACGCCATACCTCAGCCTCAGTTCCACCAGTAGCACATGCAACAAACTACTCAACATAATTACAGATCGAGAGTGTCCTCTGGGTCACTGTGATACATCTGATAAAACCGTATGTAAAGATATCACCAGTTGGTAACGTGCAACCATATAGCGATTGTCTGTGGAGAGAAACGTTCCCCTAAAGTATGTTACTGAGGGGTTGTTTAAACCAACTTGTACGCTAGAACATCTCTAGCATTGGAGATAACGACTCCACTGTTGGGGTTGTTTAAAACAAACTTGTACGCTAGAACATCTGTACCATTGGAGATAACGACTCCACTGTTGGGGCTGTTTAAAACCAACTTGTACGCTAGAACATCTCTACCATTGGAGATAACGACTCCACTGTTGGGGTTGTTTAAACCAACCAAACATCTCTACCATTGGAGATAACGACTCCACTGTTGGGGTTGTTTAAACCAACTTGTTAGAACATCTCTAGCATTGGAGATAACGACTCCACTGTTGGGGTTGTCTAAACCAACTTGTACGCTAGAACATCTCTAGCATTGGAGATAACGACTCCACTGTTGGGGTTGTTTAAAACAAACTTGTACGCTAGAACATCTCTACCATTGGAGATAACGACTCCACTGTTGGGGTTGTTTAAAACCAACTTGTACGCTAGAACATCTCTAGCATTGGAGATAACGACTCCACTGTTGGGGTTGTTTAAACCAACTTGTACGCTAGAACATCTCTACCATTGGAGATAACGGCTCCACTGTTGGGATTGTTTAAACCAACTTGTACGCTAGAACATCTCTAGCATTGGAGATAACGACTCCACTGTTGGGGTTGTTTAAAACCAACTTGTACGCTAGAACATCTCTACCATTGGAGATAACGACTCCACTGTTGGGGCTGTTTAAAACCAACTTGTACGCTAGAACATCTCTAGCATTGGAGATAACGACTCCACTGTTGGGGTTGTTTAAACCAACTTGTACGCTAGAACATCTCTAGCATTGGAGATAACGACTCCACTGTTGGGGTTGTTTAAAACAAACTTGTACGCTAGAACATCTGTACCATTGGAGATAACGACTCCACTGTTGGGGCTGTTTAAAACCAACTTGTACGCTAGAACATCTCTACCATTGGAGATAACGACTCCACTGTTGGGCATGTTTAAACCAACATGTACGCTAGAACATCTCTAGCATTGGAGATAACGACTCCACTGTTGGGGTTGTTTAAACCAACTTGTACGCTAGAACATCTCTAGCATTGGAGATAACGACTCCACTGTTGGGGTTGTTTAAAACAAACTTGTACGCTAGAACATCTCTACCATTGGAGATAACGACTCCACTGTTTGGGTTGTTTAAAACCAACTTGTACGCTAGAACATCTCTACCGTTGGAGATAACGACTCCACTGTTGGGGCTGTTTAAAACCAACTTGTACGCTAGAACATCTCTACCATTGGAGATAACGACTCCACTGTTGGGATTGTTTAAAACCAACTTGTACGCTAGAACATCTCTAGCATTGGAGATAACGACTCCACTGTTGGGGTTGTTTAAAACCAACTTGTACGCTAGACCATCTCTACCATTGGAGATAACGACTCCACTGTTGGTTTTTTTTAAACCAACTTGTACGCTAGAACATCTCTACCATTGGAGATAACGACTCCACTGTTGGGATTGTTTAAAACCAACTTGTACGCTAGAACATCTCTACCAATGGAGATAACGACTCCACTGTTGCATGTAACGACATCATGAACTAATAATATAAGCATCTTGATAACAGTGTAAGAATCTGGATTGTAATTCCAATAAATGCAAAGATGTATGATTTCTTATTTATTCACTGATTTCTGCGATGCCAACCATCATGTTAACTGGTACATCAGAGTAACTTCAAAATAACTACAACTAATTACCTATTTGATAACTAAAAGAATAGTTCAGCGATTGGAATATTATCGCTTATTGATTATCGAGATATTACTTGGTTGGTTCCAAGTATTGTAAATATGCAACAGAATAGTTCAGCGATCAATATAAATGGATGACTATTACTTCAAATCGTATTTTGAAAAACACATTATGTTGAAATAGTCAAGAATAATGGTATTTAATCTTGAACTGAATATGTGTTATGTTTGCTGCCACACGATGCAAGACTTATTTTATTGGAGTAGTTAGGCTCATAGTTTATATCTTAATGACTAGTGCATCTATTTTGCAACAGTAGCAAAATAATATCCAGTTTCCATTCAAAATTCAAGCCCAGGGCACCCACTCCTGTCACCACAAAAGTATCGAAACAACTGGCACATCCAAATTCCATGTTTCATTTCAAACAATGATCCCCAGAAGAGATGGAACAATTATTTAACGAAATGAAAAATGAATAATTGAAGCTGACCACAATGTAGTATATATACGTAAATGCTTTTATTCACTAGGTTTCGACATAAATCAAATATAAAAACATTACAGTTGTTTAATTATATTTAATTTTATTGAGTTTTATATAGTTCTTATTTGTGTCAACACCTCCGGTGCCTTTAAACGATGTTCTGAAGATGCAATAAAGCAAATCGGAACCTGTCTGACATTCTTCCAACAACGTCATCCAGGGTTCGAGAGAAAAGTTAATTACTGATAGAAAGTATGAGAAACCGGCCCTACCATCAGATAGTTATGTGCATTGATTCCTATCTGAGCCCGCTGTACATGCAGTTCGAAACACAGACGTGAGGGCCTACATGTGGGTTTCAGTTGGACGGTCTTTGGTTAACTACACGGAAACAGATCTGAACATAAATCGGCAACCTCGTGTGTAGTTATGAAGTGTTGCACATGCTGCTGGCGACTATATTCAGTGCATGTTAACTTTCCATGACATTCTTGTTCTCCTACTCAGACACAAAGTTAGTAAGTTCAAAGGGGCAACTCCACACCCCTTTCCCACCCCTAAATAAGCATATTTTCGTTTCGTTGAGTGTTTATTTCAGTAAGAAGTTATAACATATAACTTTAATTATTATGTAAGCATATTTGTCCGGCTACCTGATTGCTCTAGAGGCGGACACGTGACCGTCGACAGAAAAGCATATTGTCTCCAAACCAAGTCCGACCAAAAGTCATATTGACCTGAGTTACTAAAAGCTGATTTTGACGTCAAGCTCTGACGTCATTCTGTTGTTTATATGTCACAGTATTGTTGACATAACGTTATTGGTTTGTAGCGAAAATATGGTTACTTTTCTTGACTAAATGGACATGTTTGGGTTTTTAGAAGCTTTTTTTCGGTAATTACATAGCAACATGCTCGTCCTCGGTCAATATGTCTTTTCGCAGGTCCATAAAAACAGGTTTTGACCTCATCACCAGTCTATAATTGTATATTAAAGTTTGCATTTGTCCAATCAGGTATATGACCTAACACTACTTACAATTGTTCCTGACAACATTAACGTCTTTGAGTGGCATTTCAGAAGTTTGGAAGTACAATATTGAACAAGCTTTATGGATAACAACTTCTTTTATTTCGTGAGTGTGACGTTTCGAAACAGATTAATTTACCGTTTAGAGTTTGACCTACAACAGTAGTTAATGCTCTGACTTAGTTTTCTTGGCAAACACGTGCATTTTAAAGCACCAGTTATTGATCAATCACAGTGATCTCTTGCGACTTTTAGCATTTCTTCGTTCGTATAACCTACCTGCCCCATGTTTTATAAGACAAGATATTTCATCCACCCGATGTATAGAATACATTTTCGACCCCGCGACCCCCGCATTCTCGCTTGTTTTTAAAAATATTTACATGTTTTTTAAAAGATCATTTGCAAGTGTTTGAACTGTGGTGCTTTTAAACCAATTTGAATTACATGTAACGGTCTTCACATCAGTTGGGTAGAATGTGATATGTCTGAACAGCTGATTTCAACTAGCTTCCAGTAGTATACGAAGTTGTTGTGATATATTTAGAAACCCACCTGTAGACGGTGGAAACGGAATTACTAAAATATAGACACTGTAATATAGGGTGTCGGTTTATATACTTCTGAACTGATAGTCTATACCATTGTTACAACATTTCATATTTGGTTAACACAAGGCTCGCTAACTTACATAGATCTGTTGGTTTGTGAAAGATCAAGGTATCAAGTTTGATCTGAACCCTGAGTAATTTACTTACCTAAAATGTTAGCGAATATTTATAGTTTCTAGTTTCCCTATAAAGGAATCGTGAACAATACATCTGTATGCACCCGTGAAGATCCAGGTTACAATTGGTCAAGAAGCGACTAACGGGATCGGATGATCAGGCTCGCTGACTTTGTTAACACATGTTATCGTATCTCAGTTGCGTAGATCGATGCTCATCCTGTTAATCACTGGATTATCTGGTCCAGACTCGAATAATGACAGGCCACTGCCATATATACTAGGCACATAAAGAAACTGTGCATTGTCAAAATATTATCCCAGTTGATAAGTACGATAACAATGTCAAAGGTACATATAAACTTTAATGGAGGGATCATGAGACCATAACAAGTCGGGAGAATTTCAATTGAAAAGTCAATCACAAGCAGGAGTCCACAAGCAGGACAGGGGTCAAACGACCATGTCACAAGCTCAATAACGGGTATGTCCACCATCGGCATTGAGAACAGCAGTGCATCGACGACGCATAGAGCCTATCAAACGTGCAAGGAAGGCTTGTGGGATGTCACACCAGATCCTCTCAAGTTCTGTGGCAAGGTCAAGGACGTTATCTGGCGGATGAGAAAGACGGCGTAGACGTCGATCCATCTCGTCCCAAACATGCTCTATCGGGGAGACATCCGGTGAATTTGCAGGCCAAGGCAGTAAGTCAACGTTGTGGTGTTGCAAGAAATCCATAGCAACCCTTGCCGTATGAGGGCGGGCATTGTCCTGTTGGAATGTTAACCCAGGGCCATGACGTTGCAGAAAAAGGAATTGCCACAGGTCGAAGAATCTGATCCCTGTAGCCCACACCAGTTAAATTGCCCTGAACAATCACCAAAGGAGTTCTTTGGCGTGCTGTTATTACACCCCAAATCATCACGGAACCACCACCAAAGCGATTCCTCTCCAAGACACAGGCCTGTGCATAACGTTCTCCCACGCGTCTATAGGCACGTTGACGTCCATCACTATGGGAAATGTTAAACCTGGACTCATCTGTAAAAACAACATTTCTCCACCAAAACAAGGGTCTGCGGACATGATTTCGGCACCACATTCGGCGAGCTTGTCGATGACGTTGTGTCAGGATAGGCCGTATGGCGGGACGTCGTGGTCTGATCCCGTGATGACGTAAACGTTGTCGAACTGTGTTGGGGTGGATACGGCGAAGTCCTGGGATGGTTCGGGCAGTCATCACTGCAGTCTGAAACCTGTGGCGAAGATGGGTCACCCTTATCCATCTGTCCTGTCTTGGCGTTGCTACACGTGGACGTCCAGAACGTGGCCGATCGATGACGTCATTTGTGTTCTGGTAGCGTCTCACCAGTGCAGAAATGGTGTTCCGGTGGCAGTGGAAATGTGCAGCCACTTGTCGTTGAGACATTCCCCCACGGACCATCCCAATGGCCTCATGACGTTGTGCAGACGTGAGGCTTGGCATGCTATGCGTTTCAATAGCCGTTTAATTTTTTGAACGATCGCAAGGGCAGGGGTTGAGCTTTCGAAAGAGGCGGTATTGTGTGGCATTCATTTGCTCTGTTTCTCTTACCCGGAATGCACGTGCAACAACGTATTGCACGTCTTAAGGACGAACCCACTGACGTCACGGAACGTGGCACGTGCATGCATGTTGGATACATGTCACTAATCTCTGAGTTTATATCCTTATGTGTCTACAGAGGTTTGATAAATTTAGATTTTAATTTTTTTGTATGCACAGTTTCTTTATGTGCCTAGTATAGCTGGAATATTGCTGAGTGTGGTGTTAAGCAACGAACAAACATCTTTATACCATACCCAACCTAAACAATCACTACTGTAGTTCAGGACATCAACCTTTTCCAGGGTTTACGGTTTAAGATTGTGTAAACCAGATGGAGGTAAGATATGATTAGTTAACTGTTTTTGAAGGTTATTCATGAGATCGGTACTACGTCACCAACTTGTGTCGGTGTTGTTACAGTGCAAGAAATGTCAAATAGTATACTTTAGGTTGTTTATATACTCTCCCAAAAAAGAAACGCATATAGGAATTTCAACTGTATTTTTATGTTTATTTTGAAACATCTTGTAGGCTTTATGAGTCAATGAAATATAGCGAAATACACACTGGGAATGCAGACTTATTCATCTTTGACACCAACTCGAAGAAGGTCAGTTTGAGTGTCACATGGAGACGTGTGGTGGCGCTGAAGTCAATACTTTGATGTACCCGGATGTAGCGATCCTGCGCCGCAGTGGTCGCTCGAGGTCGCCCACTACGAGGGGCATCTGCCAAATTCTGCCGGCGATATCTCTCCCAGACCCGTGAAATGGTGCTTTGGTGAACATTCATGCGTCGGGCAACTGCACGTTGAGACTGGCCAGCTTCAAGCAAACCAATGGCGATATGACGGTTGGCTTCACTTAGACGTGGCATTTTGCGTTCGTCAACAATATTCCAAATACAGTGAATAATCGACAGACAGCAATCAACCTTTTATACCCATCATTGAAACTATCTGATCTCCAACTTTCACGTGCATTGCATGTGAATTGTGTATTCTGTGACACTACTCGCCGAAATTGAAAATCATGCTGTTCAATACGGGTATTTTACGGATGGTGCGTTTTGTTGTGATGTTTCAAAACATAAACACCATAGGACTCATAAACAGAGAAAAAACTTTTGTAAAATGAATCACGTTTTAATTCATTGCTACATGAAATTGCAATTTTCATGATGCGTTCCTTTTTGGGGAGAGTATATTTTCAACTTCTGAAATTCAAACATGGAAGACGGTCTTAAGTTGCATCAATGCCCTTTCCCCTGCGTTCCCCATCTGTTTGTGGGACTGTCGATATAACCGAAAATATAATAACTCTTAAAATATAGTGTATACTCGGAAATACATAAATATTCAAATATTGTAATAATGTATTGGATTTAAGTAATAGTTGCATCATAGTGATGAACGAACTGGGAACACATTGCAAATAGTAGTTAAGTATGACAGTAGATGTTATGATCTTGAAGGACGATAGGGGTAAGATGGGCAATTTCAACGTTTGACGTTTATAAACCAGTAGACGGGGCACACTGCATATGGGTCTCCTATTGGAATTTTCAAGGACCCACTCCCCTTGCAGCGCCTTACCAAGTTCAGTCAACGTCTGCAATAACTGCTGGCATGACATCTACAGATACTCTGCTGCTGGAAGAGAGCACTGACGATTGGGGCACAGTGAGCACGGCTGTCGTCATCCTCAAGGACAACTCACGCCTAGCAAACAACACATCTAATGGTGTCTCTGTACTGCCCACTGACCCTGTATTGCACTTTGTTCAGTCATAGTGATGCATTTTGTTGAAACAAACTATGGCTCATCTGGCCTAAGTTTTATCAAAACACTAACCCTAGTCAGCCAAATCCCACTCTGGCTATCTGAGAGACCTGTTTTGACAGAATCTGGCTAAGTCAGAGGACACCGTAGTGATACCACTCCACGCCATAACCGATACACTGCCCAAACACATGAGCCTACGTTTTACAGACACCTGTCTACAAATGTTATTGCACTGGATATGTGTTGGTAACACAAATCTTCGTCAAAATGCTTAGTATATATTTTGCGGATTTGAATTAATTTTGCTTATTATGTACTTTCATATAATTAATGACCCCTTACTTTAAAATGTCTTGGTTAAAATAGGTGTAACTTCCTTGGCATGGTCGAGACATTTTCTTCATTTTATCCGAAACTATGCAATCTGAAACTTTGCAATGATCAAAATTTCAATTGCACAAAGGTCAGTGTAACAACACAAAGCATGAACAAACATATGTAAGGCTACTCTCACACATACTGATATTATTTGCTAAACTGGCATGAGATCTCCTACATCGGAGAATCTCTCATCTTGCAGTGATATCCTCAGATTACCATCCCCATGGCTGTGAAGAAACGTGTGGTCGAACATGGTACATGTAAGAATCCTACATACGAATATCACTCACCTTTTAATTAATCCAGTCCGCTACAATCATTCGACATAATGGTTCTAAATGAGTAGTAACAACATGGAGATTTTCACTGATCCATTCATATCATTTTCACAGCTATATTTTCCTTTACATCAAAAGGATAGCCAACACTGATTGTAAGGTATGTGGTATATATTCAGAGACCTATAAACGTCTTTTGTTTGGTCTTACAGGGTAGGTACCAACCTTCAACAATCGTGTATCATTGATCATGTAACCCTACGTGATGCGTAACAACCTGATACAATGCTGCTTCATATTACTGTATTTATCAAATCGAAGGAGAAATTGCCTTCGGTATCTACGTTGGAGAATGAGATAAATGCTCATTTTATTGATTATGAACCGCAATATATATTAAGATATGAGGTAAATATTAATTCATTGACAATGATATTTCTATTATACAGAATTTATTTGGACATATGGTATACATTGGTGGCTGCGTTGCATTTCACAACACTGTTGTGGTTTGACACTAATATATTACGCGTGGCATCCGTAAAGGGCCTGGAAAGTTCGGCAGTGAACCGCTTCCAGGGTTACTCCTCATCTAGACTGCCAGTTGTCCAAGTTACATGTTCCTGAGAGCTTCAGTGGCCGAGTGGGTTAGATGGCTGACTTTGTGTTCTGGAATTAGGTGCCTGACTCTGAGAGTGTGGGTTCGAGTCCCGGACGGGAACGTAATGAAAGTAAAACAATCTGTACATTACTGAGAAAGTGTAATCCCAAATCTAACATGACTTAAATTTGAATGTCCTACTTTGGAGGACCTCCTTTTTAGCCTTGTGGATTTGAACATAATCAATTGCTATAACTGATGAAGGATTTGGTAGAGAGTTGCCGTTACCGCATCTCATTGCTCTGAACTTCAAAACTTACTTCTCCTTGGTCATTATTAATATCAAGATTGCCAATTGAGAGAGTGTTAATTTTCAAAAAAGTTCATTGGTGCTGTGCCTCTGTGACTGGACATTTACAAAATATTTCTGATTAGCGTGAAAGGTTTTAGTGGCGGAAGATATGGTCAAACGACTCGGCATGCCCCACATGCATGGGTCATGCTATCTTCAAATATACTAGTAATCTGGATATGTGAAATGAACATACTAGACTATTCCCATTTAACATAGCTTAACACACAAATATCATTTCTGTGATGTGTGTACATTACGTACTTTGCTTATTACATGCTGCGGCTGATCGACAATATTAACTGTAGAAACTACTGAGTGCAGGTGAAGCAACATTCACTTACTTAACTCACCTTGTACTCCTTCTCCGTCTCCGCCAGGATCTGCAGTGACCGACTGAGTTCAAAGGCTGTCCCTATAGGGTCATCACTAGACAGAGACAAGTAGGCTGAGCTCCCTAGACCAGTGTAGGCATTCAGTCGTGACCGGGAGTGGACAAAACGGTCAAATGTTTTATGGTTAGTGCACTCTGTACAGAGACAGAAGTAATGGTGGGGTGTTTGAATGGTAAATCCTTTCTGAATCAACATGTGTACAATGTCAAAGTTGTTACACTGGGCAGCTAACACAATAGGAGTAATATCTGGTGCGAAGCTGGAACTACTTTCTTCTTGATCATAGAAACCATGCTGAAATTCCAACTCCATCCGAGCTCGCTTGTCCGAGTAGATTGGATGTGCCAGAAACATGTCGCACACTTTCACATTCTCAGTTTTGATTGCATGGAGAAGTCCTTCTTCAACCACATCAAGGCTACATTTGTCCAGAAGGAACTGTATGGCTTCATAATGCTCACCAAGAACAGCCAACTGAAGAGCTGTGCGGCCAAGGTAGTCACGACAGTTCAGGTTCAGGGAACCATTTTCTCGGATACACAGCTGAATTTGCTCTAGGTTGCCTGTTTCAGCTCCTGTGAGAAAGCGACGTTCTGTATCGGTGAGGGGTACGTCGCCGAAGATGCCCCTAGCGACAAAGTCTTCGTGTGTGGCTCCGCCTTTCGTCTGTGTCTGGTCTTTGCTCTTTTGGTCCCTCTTGTCAGACGACAGCTTCCGGCTAACCGATGCTTTACGTGACAAAGATTGACGACTCATTGGTGAAGCTGTTCTTTAGCCGACGGTGTTGCCCTTCTGTGCACTGGTATCGATAAACAGTCGATGATGCAAGAGGGCATCCAGAATTACACTTTATTCATCTGCAAAAAAAGAGTTTTACACCAATTCACTAAAGTGTGTGAGTATGCAGAAATGTACAAATATGACAATATTCTGTCAGTCGCCATACATTGTTAAGCTATTGAGATGCGATTCAACGGTTTCAAATACGTGTGTTGACACTTGTGTACTAGTGAAGGAGGTGGGCAGAATTTACAGTTTTCCGGGACATTATTGAGAAAATGTTGGTTTCCTAATATTGATAATAGAATATCAAAATAGGTGTTACATATTATGTAGTAAGGTACTCAGTATGGGAGCCAACTCTTGCATGCTTAAGAATGAACCTTACTACATTAAGACTTATCAGACGGCTCCCTATGCTGACATGGACGTAGGGGAAAATTGAAAAACGTTGAGAATATCAGAAAAGAGATGATTAATAGAAGAAGCCCCCGGCTATGTAATGAAACACTAAGACAAGAATTACAAATACTTAACTGGGTGAAAAAGCGCGGAATTCTCTTCACCATTGATGAAAGATGCACAAAAAGAGACGTTTAAACTGGTGTAGGGTTCACGAAGATCAAGTTTGGGATATCATTCACGTTGAGTGACGCCGTTGTGTATTTCCACTAGAAATTTGACGAAGGAACGATATGATGACATCTTAAATGATCACCTCCTTCCAACGGCCCGAACACTGTATGAAGATAATTGGATTTTCCAGCATGATAACGACCCAAAACACACTGCGGGCTACACAAAACGGTGGTTGTCGGACGAAAATGTTCAAGTTTTAGACTGGCCCAGCTACAGCCCAGATCTTAACCCTATTGAGAAAGTGTGGGGACTAATGAAGGACGGAATAAACCAAAAAGGGCTTAGAAATATTAAGGATATGAGGAAAGAAGTGGCCGAATACTGGGAGACACTATCACACGATTTCCTACAAACTTTGATCGGTAGTGTACCTAGGCTCATTCAGTCGTGTATTGCAGGGCAAGGGGGTCTCACAAAGTAATGAAAAGACACTTAGACTGTAAGGGAATCGTATCTCAACATATTCATTGAAGTAAACCTTCTATAGTTTATATACATATATTAGACATTTGCAGAAAGAACTTTCTCAATAATTGTTGTGGCACGTGGTCTTGTGCACAGAGCTCAGGTGACGAATCAGTTGAAGTTAAGCAACGTCGAGCTCGGACAGACCTTGGATGGGTGACCGTATTTGGCAAATTGACTCCTGAGAGTTTCTAGGACTTCAGTCCTGCCTGGTCTCACCTTAGGCAAGTAAGTTTGTTCAAATTGCCTCTGTTCACCCAGCAGAAAATGGGTACCCGGTTGGATAAAGTCATGTGACTATAACCTGTGACTATAATTTCTGTGAATACTATAAGTGTTGCGGAGCGCTTTGAAATAGACTTTCGTCCTGGAAGACCTGTCGCGTAACGGACATCTAAATTGACAGTACTAGTATTGACTATTGACTTTCCTATACATCTCAAGGAAGTGCACACAATACATGTGCATTAGGTCATTGTTAGTACGTGCCATAATGCAACATCACATTGTTTCAGCTGTTTTGTATGTTTTGATGAAAACATACAATGGAGTATTAAGATAACATTTAAACATCCCTTTCTCATCGTGCTTGTTCTGTCAAGCCCATTACGAACGCGTAAACACAGGGCTACACAGGATGAACATATCTCTTTATGATTAAGTCATGCAAATGTGGAATATGTTACATTTACGTTCCAATAAATAGAAATGTTTAGATCAGAATCAGTATCTGGGTCTTTCTTTCCAGAGCACGAACAAATGAAACGAACTCAAAACGAACATTAGTCAGTTAAATGACGGGGCGTTCCAAAGACATGCAGCCTTTTCATAAGTCTTTCATTTACAACATTTCTTCAGGTGTCTGCATATGAGATAGCGGTGGTCTAATCCCTAACTCTGAACGCTAAATGATGTTATGAGGTCGCTGTCTAGACGTTGAACATAGGAATTCTAAAGGCCCTTCTACTCGCCACCCCCTTAATGCACCTGTGTTTTGCTACTTGAGAGAAGTACCTCTTGACTTGTTATGGTTACACACCTGAAAACTATAAATATAAATACACTTGCCGCGTTTAGATCGGCGTAGTTTCAAGTGGGATAGTAGGTGGAATATATTATATTTGATGACCCGTTGTTTCGTGAAAATCCAGCGAAAACGCACACAGTAACATGCATCTTCTGTCAACATTTAAGAAAAGGGAGGAATTTCTGTGTCATATAATGAGAAATATTTCACATGTTTTATGTTTGGAGTACAGAACCACGGAACTAAATGCCATAACCGTCCTAAATGTCAGTCTAAAGGTTAAAACTGTATAGGGTTTACAATCGACAATAAACGAAATTAGGCCATATCGTATAGTACATGTGCCTTACATGATGAACGAGAAATAATAAACAGATTCGTGTTAAACTTACTTCCTATGATGTATTCTTCAAGATGAAAGTAAAAGTCTCTCTGACAGGTTCCCATGTATTCCACAATACTCCTTTGTTAATGCATTGTATAACAGACCTTTGATTGAATGAAGGAAAAACTTCATTAAATAAAACAACACATGTCCTGCTGGAAACCGAATACCACGAATGAAAATACCGGACCATCCATATTCCAATATGCTCAGAGCCAAAGAAATCAAGGCACATTGGCGGATGAAATACTCACGTTGCGCAGACATTCATTCCTTAGGATCATAATGATTTCCATTCCTATCTCGAGGTACTAAAGACTAGGAACAACCCAAGATGGCAGCGTTGCCAAGCAACATGGAACAAATAGGTAGGGTGTAATTCCTGAAGGAAGGAAACGTTCCTCACCACGACCATAGGTAAGCCAGGATGTTTCCCCACATACAGATCTCAAGAAAAGTATTTGTTAACTCGGTACATGCTTCCCGGCAAAGAAACTCCAGTGTTGTGTGGTAGAAGTGGCCGACCCGTTCTAGTCGGGAGGGATGTCGCTGCGACAAGAAACTACTGGAGGAGAGAGAAGTGTTCATTTGATGCGTTAACCCCGGCGTCATCTCGATGTGTTTTGGTTACTACATACTCAAGTTACAAATTGTCTTAATGCAGCTTTCCATGTATCATATTGAGTGACATATTTTCAATGTAACGTTTAACATATAAAAATACATATATGAACAAACATGTTACACGCACAAGACGTGATAAACATGTAACAGTATCTGTTATTCATGTACAGATAATACTACTGCTGCAGCTACTACTACCTGCATGTACCAGTTCCACTAATACTGCCACTACAACCTCTTCACATTTTTCTTCTTCTTCTACTACAACACACCCATAATACTGTTTCAGCATACACTGGTGTTACTACAACACATCCATACTACTGTTTCAGCATACACTGGTGTTACTACAACATACCCATACTACTGTTTCAGCATACACTGGTGTTACTACAACATACCCACACTACTGTTTCAGTTACTACAACACACCCATACTACTGTTTCAGCATACACTGGTGTTACTACAACATACCCATACTACTGTTTCAGCATACACTGGTGTTACTACAACATACCCATACTACTGTTTCAGCATACACTGGTGTTACTACAACATACCCATACTACTGTTTCCGCATACACTGGTGTTACTTACAACATACCCATACTACTGTTCCCGCATACACTGGTGTTCCTACAACATACCCACACTACTGTTTCAGCATACAACATACACTACAACCCACCCACTACTGTTTCCGCATACACTTGGTGCTCCTACAACATACCCATACTATTGTTTCAGCATACACTGGTGTTACTACAACATACCCATACTACTGTTTCAGCATACACTTGGTGCTCCTACAACATACCCATACTATTGTTTCAGCATACACTGGTGTTACTACAACATACCCATACTACTGTTTCCGCATACCCATACTACTGTTTCCGCATACACTTGGTGCTCCTACAACATACCCATACTATTGTTTCAGCATACACTGGTGTTACTACAACATACCCATACTACTGTTTCCGCATACACTTGGTGCTCCTACAACATACCCATACTATTGTTTCAGCATACACTGGTGTTACTACAACATACCCATACTACTGTTTCCGCTTACACTTGGTGCTCCTACAACAAACCCATACTACTGTTTCAGCATACACTTGTGTTACTACAACACACCCATACTACTGTTTCTGCATACACTTGGTCTTCCTACAACATACCGACACTACTGTTTCAGCATACACTTGGTGTTCCTACAACATACCCACACTACTGTTTCAGCATACACTGGTGTTACTACAACACACCCATACTACTGTTTCAGCATACACTGGTGTTGCTACAACACACCCATACTACTGTTTCAGCATACACTGGTGTTGCTACAACACATCCATACTACTGTTTCAGCATACACTGGTGTTACTACAACATACCCATACTACTGTTTCAGCATACACTGGTGTTGCTACAACATACCCACACTACTGTTTCAGCATACACTGGTGTTGCTACAACACATCCATACTACTGTTTCAGCATACACTGGTGTTACTACAACATACCCATACTACTGTTTCAGCATACACTTGGTGTTCCTACAACATACCCACACTACTGTTTCAGCATACACTGGTGTTCCTAGAACATACCCACACTACCGTTTCAGCATACTCTTGGCGTTCCTACAACATACCCACACTACTGTTTCAGCATACATTGGTGTTAATACAACATACTCATACTACTGTTTCCGCATACACTTGGTGTTTCTACAAGATACCCATACTACTGTTTCAGCATACACTGGTGTTACTACAACATACCCACACTACTGTTTCAGCATACACTGGTGTTACTACAACATACCCATACTACTGTTTCAGCATACACTGATGTTGGTACAACATACCCACACTACTGTTTCAGCATACACTGGTGTTGCTACAACATACTCATACTACTGTTTCAGCATACACTGGTGTTGCTACAACATACCCATACTATTGTTTCAGCATACACTGATGTTGGTACAACATACCCACACTACTGTTTCTGCATACACTGGTGTTTCTACAAGATACCCATACTACTGTTTCAGCATACACTGGTGTTGCTACAACATACCCATACTACTGTTTCAGCATACACTGATGTTGGTACAACATACCCATACTACTGTTTCAGCATACACTGGTGTTGCTACAACATACCCACACTACTGTTTCAGCATACACTGGTGTTGCTACAACATACCCATACTACTGTTTCAGCATACACTGGTGTTGCTACAAGATACCCATACTACTGTTTCAGCATACACTGGTGTTGCTACAACATACCCATACTACTGTTTCAGCATACACTGGTGTTGCTACAACATACTCAGACTTGTGTTGTTACAACATCCTCACACATGACATATTGATTAGGTGTTTTTATTCTTTGCAAAATTCTTGATTAACGGCTTTGTATGTTTTGCTTATTGGCCTTTAACCATTGAACTCTGTAAGTAGTTCGATCGGTTGTCCCATGCAGATCGTTCCTCAATACATCATGGCTAAAAGAATGAAAGAATGAAATCAATCCCCAAACCCAGTGTTCAGCACAACTGTGAGCACATAGAAATATATGATTACGTTCATGTGTTTACCATAATTTGGTGAAAGCAAACACCAATTGAAAATGTATGTGAGATGTGCCTCTCTCATCAAATCACACGTGCAATCCAGTCGATGATCTCAGCCCCAGCTCGAGTGTGTGAGCTTGAAATTGTCAACAGATGTCTGCATTCATGTCCGTGAGCGCTCTCCAACATAGGAAGTAACAAACAGAAGAGCAAGTGCTGTGGTAAACATGGTATCGGCAGTTGGCTTGTCCAGATTAGTTTCTTGGCGATAGATTACAATGGACACATGGTGATCACACACTCGTGAAACACAGAGAGCGCCCACACGCATCTGACACGTGGAGATATTCCACGTATCTCCCACATGAATATCATCCAGGAGTATCACACACAGGACACACATGCATGTCACATGAACCACGCCTTTCTCGCACAATACACAACGACACCCTCCATTTTAACTCACACAGGAGACATAGATATCGTATCAGATATACGACACGATACACATAGAGGTCATCCAAGTATCCAAGCAGATCCTGGAAATTGCTAACACGCCTGGAGACACATGTCTTCACCCAGTACACATGATCATCACCTGTATCTCACACAGGACACAGAATCATCACGTGTATCTCACACAGGACACAGAATCATCACGTGTATCTCACACAGGACACAGAATCATCACGTGTATCTCACACAGGACACAGAATCATCACGTGCATCTCACACAGGACACAGAATCATCACGTGCATCTCACACAGGACACAGGATCATCACGTGCATCTCACACAGGACACAGGATCATCACGTGCATCTCACACAGGACACGGGATCATCACGTGCATCTCACACAGGACACTTGGAGCTCGCCACTATGTGTCACATATCATACAGAGAGATCGCAGACAAACGACATGCACATTCCCGAGTGATGATCATGTCTTGCACAGTTATCGATGATCATGTGTCTTGCACAGTTATCGATGATCATGTGCCTTGCACAGTTATCGATGATCATGTGCCTTGCACAGTTATCGATGATCATGTGTCTTGCACAGTTATCGATGATCATGTCTTGCACAGTTATCGATGATCATGTGTCTTGCACAGTTATCGATGATCATGTGTCTTGCACAGTTATCGATGATCATGTGCCTTGCACAGTTATCGATGATCATGTGTCTTGCACAGTTATCGATGATCATGTGTCTTGCACAGTTATCGATGATCATGTGTCTTGCACAGTTATCGATGATCATGTGTCTTGCACAGTTATCCAGATGTAGAGGCTCATTTATACAGCTCGCTCCAGTGTTGCTTATGTTTATAGAAGTGCCAAAACAACAAGCATGAAAAATGGAAATATTTATTTCTGTATATATAAAGACATGAATGTATACAAACAGTCTTACTAGGTTTAACATGTAGTATTCCAACTCACACAATGCACCTCTACAATCTACCTGTTGGTTGTGTGTTAACGTCACTTGATGAATGTATACAAACAGTCTTACTAGGTTTTTAAACTGTCAGGGTCAGACTCGATTATTTACAGACCAGAGCCATGTGACTGGGATGGAGTTCGGCAACCAACATTCCCACAGAATGTGGTCCATAGGACACTGTCATACTTCCCACGGCTAAAGACAGCCAGACATACTCGTACAGACAGACAGTTATCATAACAAACATCGTACCGTTGTTAAGACCAGGGGCTGTTACGATATGCGATGTGACTCATTCTGTCTGTACTATTATAGGACCCACAGTATGTTTTCGTTAGCGCCCAAACGGGACGAGTGGATTTCAAACCTCTTGAGCGCTGATTCCATATTTCCCCAAGAAAAGGGTGCGTAACACAATGTACTATCATAGCTACAAACCATAACGCAAAACTTCACATTTACATAAGACCGTCAACATCGGTACAAGCACATACGGTTGCTGAAAAGACAGTGGACACCAAAGAAATATTAGTAATACTTTACACAAGGTTTGTTTTGTTTTGGTAAATATCTCTACTCTCTACATTTGTTAGCCCGAATGAACTATTATTTGGTGAATTACGTGTTTCAACCTGCACAAGTAACATGAGTAACTATATCCCGCCTGCGCCTTGGGCCGCGATCTGTTTCCGTACTGTAATTAGAATATCTTCAGCACCGTTCTTAATCATCCTATCAGCTAAATCTGTGCCTAACGTCTCGGCAGCCTGAAACGCGCGCGGCTCGTTGCCTCTCCCGGGAACAATACATGAGTACTGCTTCAAGCCTGACCTCAGCTCCTGAAACAACCATTATATTCATTTGAGCAAAGACTCCATTGGTTTTGTGTGAACAGTATAAACATTCAAGCACAACAGAGCCTACTAGCAAGATGAGAGTGGGAGTGACTTGCACATGAAACAACACTGACATCGCTAGAGTCTTGAAGGCGACTTTAACTCCCATGTCACCTCACCTCGCTGGAAGGAAATCTTCGTGACAGACTCTAATCTATCTCCCTGTTCATCTACCACGTTTTGACTCGGTGGACGTCAAGTCATGTATGAAGCGGTGTTGACAATGGCGGCATTACTGTTATTCTCTTGCCACTGTTGTGGAACTCCAACCACGGTGTTTCGCGTGTGTTGGCGGCTTCTGTTCATCCCCTGTTTTGTACTCTTTCCCGATGGTTCCATTTCTGCCTTTATCAGAGCTTTGGGATATTTGTCCAAATGGCTTTGTCTCTTTCATTATAAGCAAATTAGCAATATTAGCATTGAAGTGTTTGTCTATCCGTCGGCTTAAGGCAAATGTCTGAAGTATTCCTAAGATGTGTATTACTCCGTGGTGGTGCTGTTATCGGTTAAACACTGTTCTATTCCCGAATTATTACACCTGGTGGTCAAATCAATTTAATATTATTAAGATATTGAGGTTGAATATTCCTCACCTCAGTGGCGCCCTTCAATCCATTCGGGAGCGTTATGGTCTCCTCATCAAAGATGGCCTCCTTGCCGTCGGCAGTAAACACCGCCCCTTTCAGTGTGAGCTGAAAACATGTAGAACATGTCTACATCAGTTCGAGCTGGACATGTTATATATTGGAACACTTATACTTAAACACTAGGGCAGAAACAATGAATGTATATATCCAAACCACCCCTGAAGCTCGTGTTCCCGGCGGCAGGCGGACACCCTTTACTTATATTGATATGTAACACAATACTGTTAGTTGCCAATAGAGGAGCAGAACAGCCAGCAGCCAGCCATACTTACCACTGATATAATTAAGATAAACAAATAATCATATAAATCAGAATTCGCATCTCTTACAGTTTCTGAACAGACATTAACATGTTTAATGATATAATATAATTTGATTGATAATAAGTGCGTCAAGAGAAATGCACACGAAGTTAACCCGTGATAACGATTTCATACACTTTACTCCACTGTCATTCCACATCGAATTCAGAAAATACTTGATTCTAGTTATCAGAGGCTGTTCATCATAATAACAACCCCTGACTACAGCAGTCGAAGACAGTTGAGTTTGTAAACAACAGTTGTATCTGGAGATTACAAAATGAAGCAGACAATGGCTGAGTGAGGGTCATGTTGATATCCTATGCAGTGCTGTCGTCACATTGGCTGTGCCACTGGGAGGTTCTACCTGGGGTAGAAACCTCTGGTTAACCAGTGAGAATTGAGTAATTTTCAATTTCATGTGAAACAGATATACATATGGCAGCACATTTTGGTGGAGAAAACATATGTACATGTTCAACAGTTTATTATTTCTAACGTAAGTGCAAGATCTTAGACACGGTATGAGCAAATCTTGCTTCACACTGCGTGTCAAATCAAAGGCATAGAGCCAGCGTTAGAAATCCCACCCCAACACCACCATCAGCGGTTGGGTTTTGTTGTTTTTCACTTTGCTTGCTGTGTTTTGGCACAGCAAGAGATCGTGTACAGTCGATATGGTTGTTGTTTGTGTGCCCGGCTCAATAACAAAACACGAGTCACGTAATCCATGGTTCAACTTCCGCCTCTCCACCTGCCGCTGAGTCAAAGGAAAGCCAATACTGATAATGTGTTTTCTTCATCTCCGGTCCATACTTACAACACCGTTCTTCAGAATGGAATGGGCACCCACTGGTTCGCTGCAGCCGGCTTTCTGTCAAATGGAATGGTGAATTAGCCCGAGAGGTCCTTGTACATAATATACACTAATACTGCTGCTATACAATCTCTATTGTGAAACAATGAAGCAACAAATGTTATATTTGGGATTACGCTTTCACAGTTAAGTACAGATGCTAGTACTTATGAGTAAGGCAATTAATCGCCTTCAAAAACCATTATGTATATTCAAGGGTTCGGCAGTGGGATACGTGCCTAGTTTATATTTGTCTGAGTGGTACATCAAGTACGTCATCTTGACAACTATTTGTCTGACTTCCATTTTTCTGGAAACGGCGGTGGCTTAATGTGTTTAAGGTCGCTGACTTTGTGTACTGGTGATTTGGTGCCTTACTAAGATAATGTGGGTTCGAAGCCCAGATGGGACTCAAATCCTAGACATGTACTAGAATCTGCATTTTACTTAGAAAGTGTAATCACAAACATAACATGTGTTACAAGATACATGACATTGATGCGTTGTGTCATTTCCAGACAAGTCTTATTACAGTGTATGGACATCTGCAAATATCACGCAGGGGAAAATCAGTGAGTTTTTCCTCAAATACTCCTGTTTTAATTTTGCATAAATACTGTCGATCCGTGTTAGAATCAAAACTAAACCTGCAATGATCATATCATGTTTACCTTGGTTCATACAACTTTATTCCTTTACTTCTCAAGTGTAATAATGTGCAAATGGCTCTAAGGCAAATATTATACAAAGTTGAGTAATGTTTGAGTAAATATCGGGTTTCAAATGGCTTGCAATATACCGAACAACAGAGACTGCTCTTGCCATTACGCAGAATACACGCAAAGAAGAGAACATAAAATCACACATTAACATCAGTGTCTGAATGTTCACCAGCACCCTCTCATGCCGCCCTATACACTAGCGCTATCCCATGCAGCTTATACACCAGGCCCATGCCATACCACTCAATATACACCAGTCCCATCAAATACCACTCAATATACACAAGGCCCATGCCATACCACTCAATATACACCAGCCTAATCCCATACCACTCAATATACACCAGGCCCATGTCATACCACTCAATATAAACCAGCCCCATCAAATACCACTCAATACACACCAGGCCAATACCACATAACATACACCAGCCCCATCCCATACCACTTAATAAACACCAGGCAAATCCCATACCACATAATATACACCAGCCCCATCCCATACTACTCAATATACACCAGGCCAATCCCATACCACTCAATATATACCAGGCTCATCCCATACCACTCAATATACACCAGCCTCATCCCATACCACTCAATATACACCAACCTCATCCCATACCACTCAATATACACCAGCCTCATCCCATACCACTCAATATACACCAGCCTCATCCCATACCACTCAATATACACCAGCCTCATCCAATACCACATAACATACAACAGCCCCATCCTATACCACTTAATACACACCAGGCAAATCCCATACCACTCAATATACACCAGCCCCATCCCATACTACTCAATATATACCAGGCCAATCCCATACCACTCAATATACACCAGCCTCATCCAATACCACTCAATATACACCAGCCTCATCCAATACTACTCAATATACACCAGGCCAATCACATATCACTCAATATACACCAGCCTCATCCAATACCACTCAATATACACCAGCCTCATCCAATACAACTCAATACACCCCAGGCCCATCCCATACCACTCAATACACACCAGGCCAATCCCATACCACATAATATACACCAGCCCCATCCCATACCACTCAATATACACCAGCCCCAGCCCATACCACTCAATATAAACCAGCCTCATCCCATACCACTCAATAAACACCAGCCTCATCCCATACCACTCAATATACACCAGCCCCATCCCATACCACTCAATATACACCAGCCTCATCCCAAACCACTCAATATACACCAGGTCCATCCCATACCACTCAATATACACCAGCCCCATCCCATACCACTCAATATACACCAGCCCCACCCTATACCACTCAATATACACAAGCCTCATCCCATACCACTCAATATGCATCAGCTTAATCCCATACCACTCTATATACACCAGCCTTATCCCATAATACTCAATATACACCAGCCCCATCCCATACCACACAATATACATCAGCCTCATCCCATACCACTCAATATACACCAGGTCCATCCCATACCACTCAATATACCCATACTCAATATACACCAGCCCCATCCCATACCACTCAATATACACCAGCCTCATCCCATACCACTCAATATACACCAGCCCCATCCCATACAACTCAATATACACCAGCCCCATCCCATACCACTCAATATACACCAGCCTCATCCCATACCACTCAATATACACCAGCCTCATCCCATACCACTCAATATACACCAGCCTCATCCCATACCACTCAATATACACCAGCCCCATCCCATACCACTCAATATACACCAGCCTCATCCCATACCACTCAATATACACCAGCCTCATCCCATACCACTCAATATACACCAGCCTCATCCCATACCACTCAATATACACCAGCCTCATCCCATACCACATAATATACACCAGCCCCATCCCATACCACTCAATATACACCAGCCCCATCCCATACCCATACCACTCAATATACACCAGCCTCATCCCATACCACTCAATATACACCAGCCTCATCCCATACCACCATACATACACCAGTCCATGTCCATACCACTCAAATATACACCAGTGTCCTGTGTCCTTGTGTCCATCCCATACCACATCCTCAATATACACCTCCATATCCATGTACATACCACTCAATATACACCAGTGTGTCCTGTCTCGTCCATACCACTCCTCCAGTCCATACATGTGTCTCCGTCAGCTCATCCCATACCACTGTCTGTGTATACACCAGCCTCCATCCCATACCACTCAATATACACTCAGCCTCCATCCCATGTGTCCACCTGTGTATACATGCAGCCTTCCTGTGTCCCATACCATGTGTCATGCTATACACCAGTGTGTCTCCAGTCTGTGTCCATGTACTATACCTAATATGTGTGTGTCTGTGTCCAGCACTCATCCATACCAGTGTGCTGTGTCATACTGCCTCCATGTGTGTCCATATACACCATGTCCATGCCTCTAGCCCCATGTCTCCATACCCACCACTCCATGCCACACCATATACCTCATCCTCGTCCATCCCATGCCACCAATATACACCAGGCCCATCCCATACCACTCAATATGTCCACACCAATGTTGCATCGTCCATACCACTCAATATACATCAGCCTCATCCCATACCACTCAATATACACCAGCCTCATCCCATACCACTCAATATACACCAGCCCCATCCCATACCACTAAATATACACCAGCCCCATCCCATACCACTCAATATACACCAGCCCCATCCAATACCACTCTCGATACACCAGGTCCATCCGACACCACTCAATATACACCAGGTCCATCCCACACCATTGAATATACACCAGCCCCATCCCATACCACTCAATATACACCAGCCTCATCCCATACCACTCAATATATACCAGCCTCATCCCATACCACTCAATATACATCAGCCTCCTCCCATACCACTCAATATACACCAGCCTCATCCCATACCACTCAATATACACCAGCCCCATCCCACACCACTCAATATAGACCAGGTCCATGCCACACCACTTTATATACACCAGCCACATCCAATTCCGCTCTATATACATCAGGCCCCTCCTACGTATACACCCATCACCTTTACGCCATCTAAGTACACATGCACGAACATTATGCCATCTGCGTATGCACACTCTACCATAAGGCCATCTAAGTATACGCGCACCACCATTACGCCATTTAGGTATACATGCCGACCATAACGCCACCTACGTATCCATACACTACCATTACGCCATTTGCGTTTACACATATCACTATTACGCCACATGCGTATACACACACTACCATTACGCCATCCAAGTATACACACACTACCATTACGCCATCTAAGTGTACACACACTACCATAACGTCATCTACGTATAGTTGAGACAAATAACTAGCAAACAGACGTACCAATCTCTTTTGGTATGCCCTCTCTGCCACTACCCGAATCGCCGTGTCTTTATGATGAAGGTTGCCAAGTAAATTTAACACTTCTTCATCGTTTGATCGACACTCTACGGCTAGTGCGGCCTGACTTACAGCGTACAGGCAATCCTCAGGGGTCAAGATCTGAATATAAAACAACGGTTATAAGATACGTTGTGGAGAATCCACCGGATGGGCAAACAGAAACCAGATGTTGCATGGAGGAAACTAGGAGATGAGTTGTGTTGAAGCTCCCATCTCACTGGGTCTCCTTTTCAAATTTAAATGGAATTATTTACTTCCATCAAAATTATACGTTTAGAAACTATGCGTCAGTCTTGAACCACCTGCGACGTGTAAGAAACTAATGTCACGGGATACCCTTGTGAGGGATAGGCTACTGATGTCACGTGATACCCTTGTGAGGGATAGGCTACTGATGTCACGGGATACCCTTGTGAGGGATAGGCTACTGATGTCATGGGATACCCTTGTGAGGGATAGGCTACTGATGTCACGTGATACCCTCGTGAGGGATAGGCTACTGATGTCATGTGATACCCTTGTGAGGGATAGGCTACTGATGTCGTGTGATACCCTTGTGAGGGATAGGCTACTGATGTCGTGTGATACCCTTGTGAGGGATAGGCTACTGACGTCGTGTGATACCCTTGTGAGGGATAGGCTACTGATGTCACGTGATACCATTGTGAGGGATAGGCTACTGATGTCACGTGATACCATTGTGAGGGATAGGCTACTGATGTCATGTGATACCATTGTGAGGGATAGGCTACTGATGTCATGTGATACCATTGTGAGGGATAGGCTACTGATGTCATGTGATTCCTTTGTGAGGGATAGGCTACTGATGTCATGTGATTCCTTTGTGAGGGATAGGCTACTGATGTCAGGTGATACCATTGTGAGGGATAGGCTACTGATGTCATGTGATACCAATGTGAGGGATCGGCTAGTGATGTCATGTGATTCCTTTGTGAGGGATAGGCTACTGATGTCATGTGATTCCTTTGTGAGGGATAGGCTACTGATGTCATGTGATACCATTGTGAGGGATAGGCTACTGATGTCACGTGATACCCTTGTGAGGGATAGGCTACTGATGTCACGTGATACCATTGTGGGGATAGGCTACTGATGTCATGTGATACCATTGTGAGGGATAGGCTACTGATGTCACGTGATACCATTTGTGAGGGATAGGCTACTGATGTCCCATTGTGAGGGATAGGCTACTGATGTCATGTGATACCATTGTGAGGGATAGGCTACTGATGTCATGTGATACCATTGTGAGGGATAGGCTACTGATGTCATGTGATACCCTTGTGAGGGATAGGCTACTGATGTCATGTGATACCCTTGTGAGGGATAGGCTCTGATGTCATGTGATTCCCTGGATGTCACGTGATACCATTGTGAGGGATAGGCTACTGATGTCATGTGATACCCTTGTGAGGGATGGGCTACTGATGTCGCGTGATACCCTTTGTGAGGGATAGGCTACTGATGTCATGTGATACCCTTGTGAGGGATAGGCTACTGATGTCATGTGATACCATTGTGAGGGATAGGCTACTGATGTCATGTGATACCTACTTGTGAGGGATAGGCTACTGATGTCATGTGATACCATTGTGAGGGATAGGCTACTGATGTCATGTGATACCATTGTGAGGGATAGGCTACTGATGTCATGTGATACCATTGTGAGGGATAGGCTACTGATGTCATTTCATTGTGATACCCTTTGTGAGGGATAGGCTACTGATGTCATGTGATACCCTTGTGAGGGATAGGCTACTGATGTCGCGTGATACCCTTGTGAGGGATAGGCTACTGATGTCCATTGTGCGATGTCACCCTTGTGAGGGATAGGCTACTGATGTCATGTGATTCCTTTGTGAGGGATAGGCTACTGATGTCATGTGATACCATTGTGAGGGATAGGCTACTGATGTCATGTGATACCCTTGTGAGGGATAGGCTACTGATGTCATGTGATACCATTGTGAGGGATAGGCTACTGATGTCATGTGATACCCTTGTGAGGGATAGGCTACTGATGTCATGTGATACCATTGTGAGGGATAGGCTACTGATGTCATGTGATACCCTTGTGAGGGATAGGCTACTGATGTCATGTGATACCATTGTGAGGGATAGGCTACTGATGTCATGTGATACCATTGTGAGGGATAGGCTACTGATGTCATGTGATTCCTTTGTGAGGGATAGGCTACTGATGTCATGTGATTCCTTTGTGAGGGATAGGCTACTGATGTCATGTGATACCTTTGTGAGGGATAGGCTACTGATGTCATGTGATACCTTTGTGAGGGATAGGCTACTGATGTCATGTGATTCCTTTGTGAGGGATAGGCTACTGATGTCATGTGATACCATTGTGAGGGATAGGCTACTGATGTCATGTGATACCTTTGTGAGGGATAGGCTACTGATGTCATGTGATACCATTGTGAGGGATAGGCTACTGATGTCATGCGTGATACCCTTGTGAGGGATAGGCTACTGATGTCACGTGATACCCTTGTGAGGGATAGGCTACTGATGTCATGTGATACCCTTGTGAGGATAGGCTACTGATGTCATGTGATACTGATGTCATGTGATTCCTTTGTGAGGGATAGGCTACTGATGTCATGTGATACCATTGTGAGGGATAGGCTACTGATGTCATGTGATTCCTTTGTGAGGGATAGGCTACTGATGTCGTGTGATACCATTGTGAGGGATAGGCTACTGATGTCATGTGATACCCTTGTGAGGGATAGGCTACTGATGTCATGTGATACCAATGTGAGGGATCCGCTAGTGATGTCGTGTGATACCATTGTGAGGGATAGGCTACTGATGTCATGTGATACCATTGTGAGGGATAGGCTACTAATGTCACGTGATACCATTGTGAGGGATCGGCTACTGATGTCGTGTAATACCATTGTGAGGGATAGGCTAGTGATGTCACGTGATACCCTTGTGAGGGATAGGCTAGTGATGTCGTGTGATACCCTTGTGAGGGATAGGCTACTGATGTCGCGTGATACCCTTGTGAGGGATAGGCTACTGATGTCACGTGATACCATTGTGAGGGATAGGCTACTGATGTCATGTGATACCCTTGTGAGGGATAGGCTACTGATGTCTCGTGATACCATTGTGAGGGATAGGCTACTGATGTCGCGTGATACCCTTGTGAGGGATAGGCTACTGATGTCATGTGATTCCTTTGTGAGGGATAGGCTACTGATGTCATGTGATACCATTGTGAGGGATAGGCTACTGATGTCATGTGATTCCTTTGTGAGGGATAGGCTACTGATGTCATGTGATACCATTGTGAGGGATAGGCTACTGATGTCATGTGATACCCTTGTGAGGGATAGGCTACTGATGTCATGTGATACCATTGTGAGGGATAGGCTACTGATGTCGTGTGATACCCTTGTGAGGGATAGGCTACTGATGTCATGTGATACCATTGTGAGGGATAGGCTACTGATGTCATGTGATACCATTGTGAGGGATAGGCTACTGATGTCATGTGATTCCTTTGTGAGGGATAGGCTACTGATGTCATGTGATACCATTGTGAGGGATAGGCTACTGATGTCATGTGATACCCTTGTGAGGATAGGCTACTGATGTCGTGGGATACCATGATAGTCTGATGTCATGATGACCCATTGTGAGGGATAGGCTACTGATGTCATGTGATACCATTGTGAGGGATAGGCTACTGATGTCATGTGATGATACCCTTGTGAGGATAGGCTACTGATGTCATGTGATACCATTGTGAGGGATAGGCTACTGATGTCATGTGATACCATTGTGAGGGATAGGCTACTGATGTCATGTGATTCCTTTGTGAGGGATAGGCTACTGATGTCATGTGATTCCTTTGTGAGGGATAGGCTACTGATGTCGCGTGATGCCTTTGTGAGGGATAGGCTACTGATGTCATGTGATACCCTTGTGAGGGATAGGCTACTGATGTCATGTGATTCCTTTGTGAGGGATAGGCTACTGATGTCATGTGATTCCTTTGTGAGGGATAGGCTACTGATGTCGCGTGATGCCTTTGTGAGGGATAGGCTACTGATGTCACGTGATACCATTGTGAGGGATAGGCTACTGATGTCGTGTGATACCCGTGTGAGGGATAGGCTACTGATGTCACGTGATACCCTTGTGAGGGATAGCCTACTGATGTCATGTGATACCCTTGTGAGGGATAGGCTACTGATGTCGTGTAATACCCTTGTGAGGGATAGGCTACTGATGTCGTGTGATACCCTTGTGAGGGATAGGCTAGTGATGTCATGTGATACCCTTGTGAGGGATAGGCTACTGATGTCGTGTGATACCCTTGTGAGGGATAGGCTACTGATGTCATGTGATACCCTTGTGAGGGATAGGCTACTGATGTCACGTGATACCCTTGTGAGGGATAGGCTACTGATGTCACGTGATACCATTGTGAGGGATAGGCTACTGATGTCACGTGATACCCTTGTGAGGGATAGGCTACTGATGTCACGTGATACCCTTGTGAGGGATAGGCTACTGATGTCACGTGATACCCTTGTGAGGGATAGGCTACTGATGTCACGTGATACCCTTGTGAGGGATAGGCTACTGATGTCACGTGATACCATTGTGAGGGATAGGCTACTGATGTCACGTGATACCATTGTGAGGGATAGACTACTGATGTCGTGTGTTCCACCTGTGACGTGTAAGCAACTGGTGTCACGTGACCCACCTGTGATGTTCGCTTCTCGTACTCCACGCCCATCCTTTCAAGTGCCGCGGCTGCCAGACATAGTCCATCATACTGACCGCTCTCGTCCAACTTCTTAATACGACCGTCTATGTTGCCGCGCTGACCAATGTCAAGGCATTATTATAGGAGTGTTGAAAACGAGGAAGTAAGGCACAGACTTTGATTCAGAGCCGACGATGATGATAAAAATGCTTCCTAACTTCTGTAGGCAGGTGTTAGCTGTAACAACGCATACATGTTGGCGCAAGTCACCCAGCTGAAGGGGGTCACGCATACTTATTGCCAGAACAAATACAGAGAAATAATGTTTCAACATTACATGTCTTTGAAATGACTTTTCGTCGTTTTTTTCTGTAGATAAGTATTGTCCATTTGCAAAGGTTACATGTAACTGATATCCACGAAAGAGGTAATGGGTCTCATCTACATGTATTTACTGAAACACAGGAACACAGAAGATCTGTGACAACTGACACAGTTGAGCCTTTCTTTCAACCGACAAACTGAATGATGTGAATGCTGAATTATTCAAATAACACACGTTACACGTGTGTACACTTCATGTGGTTTTCTGCATTGAAGGATACAATGTCGTATATCTGTAAGTGTGGGTAACTCCTCCTGATCTGGGCCGCACGTCTCAGGGAGCTTGTTCCAATAATACTGCAAGGAGAAAGGTAGCCAGGAGACTGGTTGAATGGTGGCCAGTGCAATGGACAGTCGTATGATACCAGCATATAGTGCTTATCATCATGTAGCATTAAACGGTGAGAACAGGGTTGATGGAGTTTTAGAACAGGATCGGACTTTATGTTTCCAAAAACTAGAAACTAATGTATCTGGAATAGGCGAGTGACGTTCATTGTGAGCTGCAAGCGAAACACAGGCCCTGGCTCTCTGAACTACCAATACCACATTACTACGGGGATCAGTTGCAAACCCGAAAGAGTGGATTTATGGTTTCAGGTTTTGTTCATAAAAACTGAAATACGAGGGTGCAGTGGGCTGACACAAACCCACAGACCAGTGTACATAAGAAGACGAATAGCATTCCAGGTGAGATACCGGGGTTTTAGCCCCTTTTTCAGGGTGTTGTGGCCGAACCTGGTGTACAGCAGATGTACCCTCTGGCTGAAAACTCCTACACTGTAAGAATCTACATCACTACAGCAACAAACCTCCGTGCACAAAATAGTACGTAATACAGGCGGATAACCCGATCTGATATTCACAATATAGTACGTAATACAGGCGGATAACCCGATCTGATATACACAATATACTACGTAATATAACCCGATCTGATATTCACAATATAGTACGTAATACAGGCGGATAACCCGATCTGATATGCACAATATAGTACGTAATACAGGCGGATAACCCGATCTGATATGCACAATATAGTACGTAATACAGGCGGATAACCCGATCTGATATGCACAATATAGTACGTAATACAGGCGGATAACCCGATCTGATATGCACAATATAGTACGTGATACCGGCGGATAACCCGTTGTACGATCTAGCATGCACAATAAACACAGTTGTACGTAATACAGGCGGATAATCCGTTGTACGATCTGGCATGCACAATAAACACAGTTGTACGTAATACAGGCGGATCTGACATGCAATACAAATATGTGCAGGTGCTTTCTAAGTTTGAGTGACATACTGTGCATATTTCTTTTTGAGATGTAATAATTCCGTGCTTTCAAGTTTACACAGATTCCCGAACGTTGGTTGGTTGAGAGAGCGGTCATGTGATCTAAATTTCAAGGTTCATTACTCTTGAACCCCTCTAATCGTTCATACTTGTGTAAACACGTTTTTCGCTTCGGTTTCAAGGACCCCCAATAATTGGTGATGCGAATTACGCGAACGAACCTGTTTCAAGTCACCCCAAGTTTGGCAATGTCACTACCAAACGGATTGCCGAACATTGTTCCTTTTCACAGGAGTTTAATGTCTCGCAGTTTGCGGGTTCATCTGGCGGTTTTCACAATAAACAATCACAAATAAATAGAATACAACAAGATCTGTTTCCCATGCGCCACGCCGCACAACTTCGAAGTCGGTCAGTGTATTATTACGCGGTCAAACAAGGTATTTACAAGTGAAAAGGTACAATGCCAGTTTGTTAAAATGGTATTGTTATTGCTTCTGATATTTGTTTCTGTTTGATACTGTTATTGATTATACTTATTAAAGCAGTTTCAAACCTCATAACGAATTTGTTGTTACATTTTAAAGATCGAATACTTTGAGAACTATTTCTTCAAGGGTTGGGATACATGTGTAAAACTAAAATCGCTGTGTATACAAACATCGCTGCAATACGTACGTTCTTGAACCAAATGGCATTACAACATCTTACAGGTATTAAAACACACTAAACAATGATCATCTACAAGTGGGTGGAAAACGTATGTGTAAACTTCAAAGTGCGAAAGTGTGTAAACTCGCTCGTTCACACAAGTTTGAACACCGCTTTGACATCGTTCATTTTTCAGTGCAAACACACAAACTGACATTCAATTCTTAAATAATGATAGTTATGTAACTTGAAAATGTATGAACACTGTAGTATCTTCGCCTAGATGACGTTTTGACAATGTGTAATAAAGAGAGAAAGGCTGTTATTTACAATAAACCATATAAATCCTGACCCATGTGTGTACACAGGTAACATACCTGTTATATAAGCAGGGGGACATTATACAGGAGAAGGGAAACCGGTTGATCGGGTAAAGGGTGTAAGTCATACGATCAATGTTACGCAACAACACAGACCGGCGCCATAAATTCCCCAAAACACTTTGATGCAGTCAGCACAGAAACAACACATTATCATGTTTTCATTGAAATGCAAGCAAGCAAATTGCACATTAAAACAGTATTACACCTTCTTTTGGGCTACCATGCCTTTTTCCATTACGCAATGGATGCATGGTATCTCGACAGTGACTGGCGCCCTAGTCGGCCTCTAGGTCGCCACGCTAATGCTTGTAACGACCTGCCACGTACACAGCTCCCATGACTGAAGTGAACTTTCAAACAAAACCCACGGATTTTAGTGAATGTAATAGAAAACGTTACAAAAGATAAAGTTGACCAAATATGACATGTTGCAAACAATCGTTTTAAAAATCCATACCCATACATGCCAGAACGCTTTCAGAATACTATTACAAGTAGACAGGATAATTGTATTGTTAATTCAACTTTAAAATTGTAAAACTTATCCTGACAAAATAGTTATTCAGACTGCTATATCAACACAGACGCAGCCTGTAGAAAAGAACATGTTTTGATGGCTGGGGCGGTTGCCCATTAGTTACACGTGCCATGAGTTACACAGATTGAAATTGCCAGTTATGACACAGTCAGATCAGAACAGAATTATACCCACGGCTTTAATAGACTCTTCCATACTGATGAGCTGAAGGATGAGCACCCAAGCAACTCCCTTCATACAATGCAAAGCTCTTTACATGTTATTCTACATGTTTGTATAAGGGTGTGTAACTACTAAAACAAATATAGTAATGGCACGTGTAACTAATGGGAGGATACCCTGGGGACAGCTGTGTCAGGCGAGGGGCTGGGGGACACATGCAGTTACCTCCCCTACTTCATTTACACTGTTGGAAACCCTGATACAATTAGACTCCGTTTTCATAATGGCCATGTTTTGGTTTCATCTCACAAAGATCAGAGGTGCCAGACGGAGTGACACAGTTTTATACAATGTGTTCAGTGCCCCAACTCTACCAGTGTCTGTCATAATTAGTTCAAATACCTACCTTCCATTTGGCAAAGTTGCAAGGGTATGGCCATGATTTTTGGGGCTCATCACTATTGCATCACACGGATTTGCTCTCCTGGTTAAAGCACAGACAAGAAAATCATGAATTTAACTGACAGTCACAATAAAAAGTCGTAGTGCGAGTCGCATCGGCAAAATTATTTCAGCAAAAACAAGGACGAGAACAAAATTTAGTGTTTACAAACATTTCACTTATATACCAAGACACTATTTCAAAAGAAAATCATCAAATATCTTGCAATAATTAGAAAATGTGGGACAGAGACAGAAGCAAATGAGACGCACTCAAGAATACTGCCAAGCACGAGGTCATCTGGCAGAGAGGTGGACACGTCCTTCAGAGAGTGGACAATCAGATCTACACTGCCGCTCTTCAGGGAGTTCTCTAGCTCTAGTGTCCAAAGTGCAGATTCTCCAATCTGAAGTCATATCATCTCCACAATGAGCATTATCAGCTGAACTGAGAGAGTTTCTACAGCAAACACCATGGCATACAACCACACTGAAATACCCATTACCTGTTTAGGACCTAAGCATGTTAAAGTAAAGAATCCGTCCTATTAAACGTTTATAGAGCCGGAAATATTCATACTATTTAGATTCAGTATATGCAATGCGACAGTGACAATATATGAAGTACGTTGTGTTTCAATAATTTATTCTATAGATGGTCAGATTCCGTAACTGGTGTTGACATGTAATGAGAGCCTGGGATCTGATGTTATTTAACGTGTTAACCTTACTTCATCACCAAGCACGTTTTGTAAGCACAGACGTCTAGCTTGCTTACCACCATTCTTGCCTTGTGTAGTGATGTGGCAGAACGACCATGATCACGTTCACATATCACCCATAACCGTGGGGTACTGTAACACTTCACTCTTTTCTTACCTTAGTTATGGACTGACTCAAATCCCTATCTCCGGGAGTTGTCATGGTAACTGCATAACAGAAAACAAATCAGATATAATCATTTCCCAAAGACTGCAACTTCAATTGTATCTATAAATGGCAGCAGCCTCTGGTACCCGTCAGTACGTACCTGTTTCAAATTGTACATCCGGGCGTATCTCCTGAAGTTTCGATACCAAGTAGTTGGATTGAATAAGGGCAAGCTGAAAGTTACAATAGAATACATGTGTGATACATTTCGTGTGGTCACAGAATGAAAATACACAAAGTGACAAATACATAGATTGGCATATACAACATAGGAAACGTACAACCCGCCGTATATTCAGGTAAGAAACATTACAAACTTGGACAATGTTAAATCTTAAATTACACTAGTAGGTGTTAACTACATGCTACGAGCCACACGAGGGCCGCTTCATACGGTTGTGTACATATACATCAGGTACTCTCGTTGCAATACTATTGAAAACACAATGTTTCAAGTTTTACACTGCTTAACTTCAAATACGTATTGTGACTAAATTAAGTACGTATGTCTTTTGTATGAATGCACACTGGTAACACGTATTTGAATGCGTCAAGAATAAATATTCAACATTAGGTAAAGTGGGCTAGCACTATAAAACCAGCTTAAGTCTGGGCTAGTACAAGCCGCCGCACATACACATACCCACGCATGCACGTCGTCATATGAGCGAAATATTCTCAAGCACGACGTTAACCCAATTTCACCTCACCTCACCTAAGCTGACTGGTTGGTTGCTTGCTTGCCGCACTCAGCAATATTCCAGCTATATGGCGGCGGTCTGTATATAATCGAGTCTGGGCCAGATAATCCAGTGATCAACACCATGAGCATAGATCTACGAAACTGGCATACGATGACATGTGACCAGCAAGAGCCTGACCACGCAATCCTGTTAGTGTCCTCTTGCGACAAGCACGGGTTGCTGAAGACCAATTCTGACCCGGATCTTCACGGGTTAGACATATTAGAAGTCTATTAGCCACGGTATGACACATTGACCAAGGTTACATAAAAGAATCGGGCCCACCAAACTACTGTAGTATGATACTAAGGATAAGGCTGGCCGACTTAAAGTAAGATTGCTTTGCGGTAGTCGGACAGAGGAAGGTTGGCCAAATGACGCCTCCAAGATGAAGCGAAGCCTTCACTGTACTACCAAAGCCAAATAGTTCCGCTTTTGCAGCATAAAGTATTTTAAACCTGAAATGCCCTAGTTATTTCAATCAATTGTCTATTTTCGATTTTCACATAATTTTAAGTTCCTTTCAAAAACTCATACATTGTATTTCTCGTTACTTCGATTATTTTCTCCTTTCTTCATGTTTCTCTCAAAATCTCTACATTTCGATTTTTTTTAAAGAAACAATAATGACGAGACTTCCTCCGCCAGTATGCCGGAGGGAAAATTTGACTTTCTATGAAAGTTGAATTGACTATTTTGCTTGACATGATCTTAAGACAATACAAAGGTTTCTGTAGAGAAAACGGAAGATTGTGTTCTTTTCTGAGTCACTCTGAGTCTAATTTGAACTTGCAGATTTTATTCCGCCACAAAATGGTCATAACCTTCTTTCTGTCTAATTGTTAGTGAGTGGATAAAGAATGTTGGACAGTCTATTAATCACAGGGACAAGGTGTGACGTGTATCATACCATTGAATCTGAATATGGCTCAGTGAGTATGTAACAATGTTTTTAGTACAGAACTTTGTGTTGCTAAACATTAGAATCGTGTATTCAATCGTCGTTTATAAGCTGACGCAAGAGATAATTTTTAAGTTTAGGTTATCGATTAGTCGACCAAATCGAAAGGCTCTTTCCATTCATGAATCACAAGTTACTCTTCGCGGAGGAGTAAATACACATGAGTAAACATGTCCGAATACTCCCAAACGTAATTCAGTCTGATTCATCAACACCCAGCTAAGCCAAAAAGCCTATCCAAAAAGTGGCAATAAAGATAAAATACCGGATCGATGTTTGTTCATTTTCTGTACGTTAAGCATCATAAAGAGACATATGAAGGTGGAGCGGTTGCTGCTAGCCAACACCTTGCCTGTTAGCAACTGTTTAACAGCGACGACATGCACGACTAACTGAAGCACAACAGACCAACGTCAGCAGATGAGAAACAGAGCTGTAGTTGTCTGTAGCACACGCCTGGTTCATATACTGACATAAAGGAAGACTAAACATAGGAAGAAAGTAACTGCCAAGTCAACAACGCTTTCTCAATTGACGACACGACGTATAAGGATATGTTTTTTAAAGAGATGAATATGTTGTATTCAACGTTACGCAACACCCACCACAGACAGACAGATAGTTTACTTGAGTCTCACCTCATATATACAATAAAAGTACATGTAAAATAGGTACGGTATAACAATATAAGAAGTATATAAGCCACTGTATACATACATGAATTAATACGATGAAAGGTATACAGTAGGTCGGACAAGTGTTGTTTAACGATATATATTTTTCGACCCGGGTTTGGGATATATGGGATAGTTACGCACACGACCTTTGAGTTATAGCGTGTCTGTAAGGCCATTGATAAATGTCCAGTCAGAACCTTCTACAACGTGTACAACTTCAACAGGGTCACAGTAACATAGCATAAAGTTTCTTTTTGAAATAAAATAAAATGGTTGCATTTTCTCATACCACTCCCTGCCCCATGTAACTGTGCTACACTACCCCCTTTCAATAACACATTTCCGTGACCCCCTACCCCCAATCTTACTGGCCCCTCTTCCCTATAATAAATTACAAGTGTCCAAATAGAAGGCTGTTTTAAAATGCCAAAATATGTTTCATCTAGTTTACGTTTGTCAAACAAGTATTGAAAGCGTGTTTTCTGTGAGATGATATTAATTGGGTTTGAAATTTATTGTTTTAAACGATAAAGATAAATTCATGACGTGTCCTATTTGGACAGTACAGCAATACAAGCCAGGAGGAAAGCATGGAACAGATACACAAACACATTATCCTCATTGCTTTCCATAATGATATCCCGAGATATCTATGTTTAGTTTAAATAGTTAATACTGACTTACTTTGCTCTCTCTTGATCCAACTTTGAACACTCTTTTGGTGGACATATTGATAGTGTGGAGAGACGGAGGGTTGAACGTTGACGAGAGTCGGCGGCAACAGTGCACGAGGGTAAGGGGGAAGGGTACCTTATACCCCTGCTTCTCGGTCCCTTATTGAGCAGGGGGCGGGGCTTGTTTGAAAACCCGGAAACAAATTCAAATAATCGAGTGAGTGGCTCATTATTTTGCTGTTATACATGACAGTCGAAATTTCCAATGTGTGGGTGTGTACTGCACACATTGATATGATCACATGCGAGCGTGAACGGTGTGCAGTCAGTCGAAAGCACACGCAGTTCCCACGCGTCAACCAAGGCTGCTTCACATACAGGACGGTCATAAGTAGAAGAGTGTATTGACAAGCCTTGTGTTGAAAAATCAAAAGTGATACCCTTTGCAAAAATGATCGCCATATGTAACCGAGAATCACAGCATCATAGTAGTAAAACATGCAAACAGTGGAGGCGTCACATATTGTTCAAGGAATTGGACACTGGTAATGTGATCACAATGCACGGCATGGCGTCATGTATACAGATGGTAGTGGGTAGGGGTGGTGATTTCAGGTGTACAGCTGGGGGTGAGTTGGAGTGGTGATGTTACGGATGGTGGTGTCAGGTGTACAGCTGGGGGTGAGTTGGGAGGGTGATGTCAGATGTACAGCTGGGGATTAGTTGGGGTGGTGATGTTACGGTTGGTGCTGTCAGGTGTACATGCTTGGGTGAGTAGGGGTGGTGATATCAGATGTACAGCTAGGATTGAGTTGGGGAGGTGATGTCAGATGTACAGCTGGGGTGAGTAGGGGTGGTGATGTTACGGGTGGTGGTGTCAGGTGTACATGCTTGGGTGAGTAGGAATGATGATGTCAGATGTACAGCTAGGATTGAGTTGGGGAGGTGATGTCAGATGTACAGCTGGGAGTTAGTAGGGGTGGTGATGTGTACGGGTGGAAAGGTGTGTCAGGTGTACATGCTTGGGTGAGAGTTGGAATGATGATGTCAGATGTACAGCTGGGGTTGAGTAGGGTGAGGTGATGTCAGGTGTACATGCTTGGGTTGAGTTGGAATGATGATGTGATGTCAGATGTGAGCTGGGGTGTCAGATGTAGTAGGGGTGTTGATGTTGATATTGCAGGTGGTGCTGTCAGGTGTACATGCTTGGTGTGTAGAAATGATGATGTCAGATGTACAGCTAGGATTGAGTTGGGGAGGTGATGTCAGATGTACAGCTGGGATTGAGTTGGGGAGGTGATGTCAGATGTACAGCTGGGATTGAGTTGGGGTGGTGATGTCAGATGTACAGCTGGGAGTTAGTAGGGGTGTTGATGTTACGGGTGGTGCTGTCAGGTGTACATGCTTGGGTGTGTAGGAATGATGATGTCAGATGTACAGCTAGGATTGAGTTGGGGAGGTGATGTCAGATGTACAGCTGGGATTGAGTTGGGGTGGTGATGTCAGATGTACAGCTGGGATTGAGTTGGGGGTGGTGATGTCAGATGTACAGCTGGGATTGAGTTGGGGAGGTGATGTCAGATGTACAGCTGGGAGAGAGTGAGGTGATGTCAGATGTACACAGCTTGAGTGTGAGGAGAGGTGATGTCAGATGTACAGCTAGGATTGAGTTGGGGAGGTGATGTCAGATGTACAGCTGGGAGTTAGTAGGGGTGTTGATGTTACGGGTGGTGCTGTCAGGTGTACATGCTTGGGTGTGTAGAAATGATGATGTCAGATGTACAGCTAGGGATTGAGTTGGGGAGGTGATGTCAGATGTACAGCTAGGAGTGCAGGAGTATTGAGATGAGAGGGGTGATATCAGATGTACAGCTAGGGATTGAGTTGGGAGGGTGATGTCAGATGTACAGCTGGGATTGAGTTGGGGAGGTGATGTCAGATGTACAGCTGGGATTGAGTTGGGGAGGTGATGTCAGATGTACAGCTGGGATTGAGTTGGGGTGGTGATGTCAGATGTACAGCTGGGATTGAGTTGAGTGGTGTGATGTCAGATGTACAGAGCTAGGATTGAGTTGGGGTGGTGGTGTCAGATGTGCAGCTGGGATTGAGGAATTGAGTTAAGTGATGTCAGATGTACAGCTAGAGATTGAGTTTGGGGTGGTGGTGTCAGATGTACAGCTAGGAGTGAGAGTAGGGAGGTGGTGTCAGATGTACAGCTAGGGGTGAGTAGGGGTGGTGGTGTCAGATGTACAGCTAGGATTGAGTTGGGGTGGTGGTGTCAGATGTACAGCTAGGATTGAGTTGGGGTGGTGGTGTCAGATGTACAGCTGGGGTTGAGTAGGGGTGGTGGTGTCAGATGTACAGCTGGGTTGAGTAGGGGTGGTGGTGTCAGATGTACAGCTAGGATTGAGTTAAGGTGGTGGTGTCAGATGTACAGCTGGGGTGAGTAGGGAGTGGTGGTGTCAGATGTCCAGCTGCAGCTTAGAGTTAAATTGGTGGTATCCCTACAAGGTTGAGTTGGGGGTGTGAGATGTACAGCTGTGTCAGTGGTGGTGTCATGTACAGCTGGGGGTGAGTGAGTAGGGGGTGGTGGTGTCAGATGTAGAGCTAGGATTGAGTTGGGGTGGTGGTGTCAGATGTACAGCTAGGATTGACTTCGGGTGGTGGTGTCAGATGTACAGCTGGGGTGAGTAGGGGTGGTGGTGTCAGATGTACAGGTAGGATTGAGTTTGGGTGGTGGTGTCAGATGTACAGCTGGGGTGAGTAGGGGTGGTGGTGTCAGATGTACAGCTAGGATTGAGTTGGGGTGGTGGTGTCAGATGTACAGCTGGGGTGAGTAGGGGCGGTTGTGTCAGGTGTGCAGTTGGGGGTGAGTTAATAATAATAATAAGTCATCTTCTATAGCGCACAGTCTCCAAACACCAAGTGATTGCTCGCGGCGCTTAATCAGAATCTGATTCTTATTACCCTGGATAACCCAAGCTGCCTGTTAGGCGCTAGAAGGTTATAGTCACAAGACTTTATCCCACCGGGTACCCATTTTTCTGCTGGGTGAACAGAGGCAATTTGAACAAACTCACTTGCCTAAGGTGAGACCACATGCATCACATGTGCTTGGTGATGGTGTTGGGGTGGTGATCGCAGATGTGCAGCTGGGGTGAGTAGGGGTGTTGATGTTACGGGTGGTGGCGTCAGGTGTACAACTGGGAGTGAGTAGGGGTGGTGGTGTCAGGTGTGCAGTTGGGGATGAGTTGGTTGGTGATCGCAGATGTGCAGCTTGGGTGAGTAGGGATGTTGATGTTACGGGTGGTGCTGCCAGGTGTACAGCTGGGGATGAGTTGGGATGGTGATGTTACGGGTGATGATGTGACTGTACCTACGAACTATTGTAGAACAGGGCGCTGTATGGCTGTTCCTACGAACTATTGTAGGACGGGGCGATGTATGGCTGTATCTACGAACTATTGTAGGACGAGGCGATGTATGGCTGTACCTACGAACTACTGTAGGACAGGGGCGCTGTATGGCTGTACCTACGAACTATTAGAGAACAGGGAACTGTATGGCTGTACCTACGAACTATTGTAGGACGGGGCGATGTATGGCTGTACCTACGAACTATTGTAGGACAGGGGGCTGTATGGCTGTACCTACGAACTATTGTGCCAGGGCAGGGGGCTGCGTGGCTGTATCTACGAACTATTGTAAGGCAGGGAACTGTATGTCTGTACCTACGAACTACTGTAGGGCAGGGGGCTGCGTGGCTGTATCTACGAACTATTGTTGGACGGGGCGCTGTGTGGCTGTACCTACGAACTATTGTAGAACAGGGAACTGTATGTCTGTACCTACGAACTATTGTAGGGCAGGAGACGGTATGGCTGTACCTACGAACTACTGTAAGACGGGGCACTGTGTGGCTGTACCTACGAACTATTGTAGGACAGGTGGCTGTATGGCTGTAAATACGAACTATTGTAGAAGGGGCGCTGTATGGCTGTACCTACGAACTACTGTGGGACAGGGCGCTGTATGGCTGCACCTAAGAACTATTGTAAGACAGGGGGCTGTATGGCTGTACCTACGAACTACTGTAGGACAGGGGGCTGCATGGCTGTACCTACGAACTATTGTAGGACAGGGCGCTTTATGGCTGTACCTGCGAACTACTGTAGGGCAGGAGGCTGCATGGCTGTACCTACGAACTACTGTAGGACGGGCGATGTATGGCTGTATCTACGAACTTTTGTGGGACGGGGCGCTGTGTGGCTGTACCTACGAACTATTGTGGGACGGGGCGATGTATTGCTGTACCTACGAACTACTGTAGAGCAGGGGGCGCTGTATGGCTGTATCTACGAACTACTGTAGGACGGGCGATGTATGGCTCTATCTACGAACTATTGTGGGACGGGGCGCTGTATGGCTGTACCTACGAACTATTGTGGGACGGGGCGCTGTATGGCTGTACCTACGAACTACTGTAGGACAGGGCGCTGTATGGCTGTATCTACGAACTATTGTAGGACATGGGACTGTATGGCTGTACCTAAGAACTACTGTAGGACAGGGGGCTGCGTGGCTGTATCTACGAACTATTGTAGGACAGGGAACTGTATGTCTGTACCTACGAACTATTGTAGGGCAGGAGACGGTATGGCTGTACCTACGAACTATTGTAGGACTGGGCGCTGTATGGCTGTACCTACGAACTATTGAGGGGCGGGGCGCTGTATGGCTGTACCTACGAACTATTGTTGGACGGGGCGCTGTATGGCTGTACCTACGAACTATTGTGGGACGGGGCGCTGTATGGCTGTACCTACGAACTATTATGGGACGGGGCGCTGTATGGCTGTACCTACGAACTAGTGTAGGACAAGGGGATGAATGGCTGTACCTACGAACAGTTGTAGGACAGGGGGCTGTATGGCTGTACATACGAACTACTGTAGGACAGGGCGTTGTATGGCTGTATCTACGAACTATTGTAGGACAGGGGGCTGTATGGCTGTACCTACTAACTATTTTAGGACAGGTGGCTGTATGGATGTACCTACAAACTATTGTAGGTAAGGGAACTGTATGTATGGCTGTACCTACGAACTATGGTAGGACGGGGGGTTGTATGGCTGTTCCTACGAACTATTGTAAGGCGGGGCGATGTATGGCTGTACCTACGAACTATTGTAGGACAAGGGACTGTATGGCTGTACCTACGAACTATGGTAGGACGGGGGGCTGTATGGCTGTACCTACGAACTTTTGTAAGGCGGGCCGATGTATAGCTGTACCTACGAACTATTGTGGGACGGGGCGATGTATTGCTGTACCTACGAACTACTGTAGAGCAGGGGGCGCTGTATGGCTGTATCTACGAACTACTGTAGGACGGGAGATGTATGGCTCTATCTACGAACTATTGTGGGACGGGGCGCTGTATGGCTGTACCTACGAACTATTGTGGGACGGGGCGCTGTATGGCTGTACCTACGAACTACTGTAGGACAGGGCGCTGTATGGCTGTATCTACGAACTATTGTAGGACATGGGACTGTATGGCTTTACCTAAGAACTACTGTAGGGCAGGGGGCTGCGTGGCTGTATCTACGAACTATTGTAGGACAGGGAACTGTATGTCTGTACCTACGAACTATTGTAGGGCAGGAGACGGTATGGCTGTACCTACGAACTATTGTAGGACGGGGCGCTGTATGGCTGTACCTACGAACTATTGAGGGGCGGGGCGCTGTATGGCTGTACCTACGAACTATTGTTGGACGGGGCGCTGTATGGCTGTACCTACGAACTAGTGTAGGACAAGGGGATGTATGGCTGTACCTACGAACAGTTGTAGGACAGGGGGCTGTATGGCTGTACATACGAACTACTGTAGGACAGGGCGTTGTATGGCTGTATCTACGAACTATTGTAGGACAGGGGACTGTATGGCTGTACCTTCAAAGTACTGTAGGACAGGGGGGCTGTATGGCTGTACCTACTAACTATTTTAGGACAGGTGGCTGTATGGATGTACCTACGAACTATTGTAGGACAGGGGGCTGTATGGCTGTACCTACTAACTATTTTAGGACAGGTGGCTGTATGGCTGTACCTACGAACTATTGTAAGGCGGGGCGATGTATGGCTGTACCTACGAACTATTGTAGGACAAGGGACTGTATGGCTGTACCTACGAACTATGGTAGGACGGGGGGCTGTATGGCTGTACCTACGAACTTTTGTAAGGCGGGCCGATGTATAGCTGTACCTACGAACTACATGGTATAATATGGTTTAATTTGGTTCAGTGATGTTTCGAAGTGAATGCCAAGATGACACGAGACAGGTAGCCCATTTATTGGAGACTGCACTGAAAGCAAATGACCATGCACAGGTCGTACAGAAACACACAGTTAGGTTTACACTCACAAAAGAAAATACAGTGTGTTAAATATGTGCCACTATCTCTACACTCTACTATAAATACACTCTACTATAAATGGCAGGCAGTCACGAATGTCAGACTTAGTCAGTTGTCTGGATGGTCACTGTCTGGAAAGAGGCACGTATTCACCGGAATCCGGAAATGAGCCTGGCGGGTGGTCGATGCTTTCAGATAGGTTGCCCTCCACATGAGGAAAGACGCCGGTCAGTTCATGGTATCAACCTGTTTATTAAGGTACAGGCGTTCCTTCTGGAGACCGTCCCCTCAAGAAAGATTGTCCCGGTTAATCAACAAATGGTAAACAAACTCCTCACAGCGATAGGCAATTGGCGGAGCTCTCTTTCCCGAAAGTACAAACGAATTTGTTGACTAACATTTAGTCTCTGAAATGAACATATTTGACAGAAAAACGGCTTCTACTTATGTTTTAAAATATGACATTATTGAGCCCAGAGACTTTATTCGCATAGACACGCTACGCGTTCTAGACTTGCATGGGCTGCATTGTGTATATTTGGTTCAGAGTCAGGTTGACAGGCTGACGAAGGTGTCAAGAGCTGAGGAGATTCCAACACAACTAGGGGAGGCGCGCTATGTATATATTTTACGAGAGGCTCAATCAATTTGTGGCCACTAATAATCAAAAGAAAGCGACTTATTATCTAAACGTATTCTAGTTACCCATATGTATTCATATCAAGAGAAGGCATTTACAGCGCATTGTACTACATACAGGACGACTGTCATTTAATGTGACTGACACAAGGATGAAATAGACCTGGGAGATAGTCACATGTTTTGAAGACTGTCACACGACCACGATGGGAGAGGTCCTGTCATTACCGGGGATGCCGTGGTCACGAGGGGGAGTTCCTGTCAGTACCAGGGTTGCCGGGGTCACGAGGGGGAGATCCTGTTAGTACCGGGGATGCCGTGGTCACGAGGGGGAGATCCTGTCAGTACCGGGGATGCCGTGGTCACGAGGGGGAGATCCTGTCAGTACCATGGTTGCCTTGTCACAAGGGCGGAGATCCTGTCAGTACCTGGGTTGCCTTGGCACGAGGGCGGAGATCCTGTCAGTACCAGGGCTGCCGTGGTCACGAGGGGGAGTTCCTGTCAGTACCAGGGATGCCGTGTTCACGAGAGGGAGCTCCTGTCAGTACCGAGGATGCCGTGGTCAGTACCGGGGGGGAGATGCCTTGTCACGAAGGGGGGGAGATCCTGTCAGTGCTGGGGTTGCCTTGTCACGAGAGCGGAGATCCTGTCAGTACCGGGCATGCCGTGGTCACGAGGGGGGAGAGCCTGTTAGTACCGGGGATGCCGTGGTCACGAGGGAAGGGGAGATCCTGTCAGTACCGAGGATGCCGTGGTCAGTACCGGGGATGTCGTGGTCACGACAGGGGAGTTCCTGTCAGTACCGAGGTTGCCGGGGTCACGATGGGGGAGATCCTGTCAGTACCGGGGATGCCGTCGTCACGAGGGAAGGGGAGATCCTGTAAGTACCGGAGATGCCGTGGTCACGAGGGGAGGTGAGATCCTGTCAGTACCGGGGATGCCGTGGTCACGAGGGGAGGGGAGATCCTGTCAGTACCGGGGATGCCGTGATCACGGGGGGAGCTCTAGGGGAGATCCTGTCAGTACCGGGGATGCCGTGGTCACGAGGGGAGGGGAGATCCTGTCAGTACCGGGGATACCGTGGTCACGAGGGGAGGGGAGATCCTGTCAGTACCGGGGATGCCGTGATCACGAGGGGAGGGGAGATCATGTCAGTACCGGGGATGCCGTGGTCACTGTAGACTAATGCTTAGTCTCTGAATATATGATATTATAATTTTGATAGTGACAAACAAACCCATTTAAATTGAAAAGGTGCCCCAGGGAGACCAGAGGTTCTGAACCTGAGGAAATCTAGACTTGCTTTTTACTATGGTCACTGCTCTACATCTCCACGCTCAGACTGCATGAGTCGACGGATTCTGTTCCGTGGATTTCCCATCCACCCTTCTTGCAACGCCTTGTCCAGAGTTGTGTTGTGTTCACCTCACACTTCCGCCACCAACTCTGCCATTTAGTGAGAGTCTATGCACAGGGTCGGTCGGATGCAGCTTTTCGAGATAGGGGTGGGGTGGGGTGTCACCCTTTTGAGAAAGGGGGGTGGCGTGCCCACTTCATTTACACGAGAGTTTCAATGATCATTTAATAAACTTTTGTTTGTTCAACTGTGTGGGCCTATTTCCCACCTCTGGCAGACGACACATGACTGTTAGTTCCTATACCCTCCTATACCATGTACATTCCCTGTAGTACTGGTGGCAGTGGCATGTCGATGACCCAGATGACCCGGACGAAGTAATCTTGTGTAAGGTCGGTGACCACATCTCAGGCGATCTGAAAATTGAGGCGGGTATACCCATCCCATAAACGAGATATTCTGCTCTGCTGCTGTGGCCGTGCACCTCTAGCCTGGGACTCCCCAGCTTCAAGATATCCTCTGGCATGTACTCTCGGTAGTTTCCTACTTCACATGTGGTGACAAGCGTACATGTTGATGCCGTTTGACCTTTCTAAGTCATTGTCTCTACACATGGCTTTCACAACTTGCACGTGCATTTTATTTCTATTTTCTTTCCAGTTCCGTGCAGTTATATTGATGTCTGATGTCTAGTAGTAGTAGTAGTAGTAGTAGTAGTAGTAGTAGTAGTAGTAGTAGTAGTAGTTCTGTCTTAAACAACTACTGCTACAACTACTTCTACAACCACTACCTAAAACAACTACTTATTACGACGACAACAACAACAACTACTGCTACATCCAACTACTACTACGTGATACAACTACTGATTCCACTGCTAAGCAAATCACGAGAACCCGAAAACCACCTGTCAAGCCCGGGAGAGCAGGCGAAATGACTAATGAAGAAAGAGGAGGTGTTGTCATTGTTTACACGCATGCACGCATGCACGCACACACATGCACATACAGCTACATAATTTGTGTTGGTGATGTAAGCCAATACGCTTACTGTTAAACTGAAGTGGATTCCTATAACAGTGCCAATCATTGTGTTTTTTATGCGGCATGAAATGAACATCCCATATTACGAAGAATTTGGTGTTTTATTGGATGTTAAGTCAGTAAAACGGCAGTGATGCGCCATCAGTCAGTTCCCCAGTTGGGTTTTCTTCACATTGTTGCCTGTCGATAACACAAATGCACTTTCACCTTGATCTTGCACCGGCTTGGACTGGAAACCTTTCATACATTCTCACTGCTGTCACGCTGGACGCCCTCGTCATACAGAAGTAGGTCACGCATGTCAAACTTGAAGCAAGGACGAAATGTACATGCAATGGACACCACATAATCAGGTGACTAACTGAATGTCCTGCGGCGGTGACTGCAGCAGCTTCATGTGCGGTGATGGGCGACGACATAGCCCAGGCTTCAAGGAGGCGCAAACTACACTCGAGAAACCTAACTTCACTTGTTTGTAGACCAAGGAAATGGAGACAAAACTCCCATATCTTCTGCTGATGTTACTAATGAGACACTCGTGGTCTCTGGGTAAGTAACGTATTTACTTCATGATTATAGTAAATCAGATCTCACAGGACGTTTTTCTTGTAAAAGTAAAGTTAACGTTTTTGGTATGAATTATAATTCCATGCGAGGTAGATGATTCAATTTAACTACCTATTGCTCATGTTTGCACGATGTAGGTTTTCCTGATATACATGTCAAAACCCGCATGAAGGTGGGGACCGATACTGATCGTATCACATTATGTCATCACCGACATGACGCCTGAGACGTGGATGTTTAATTCCGTTATGTTCGAATTGATTGAGGGGTGTGTGATATTAGGTATTTCCTTCAGGCGTATTTATCAAGAGAAACTTCCAACCGTATCAGTTACTGATATATACTGAAATACCATTTAACATCAAAAGTGAAACCTAATTATTTCAACAATGTGCATGATAAAGAAACACATGACCTATGATGACTGTTTTGTTCTGGCACTAGTACAATATAACATGACCCGACTCCCTCTAAGCATTAACAGTCCCCCGTTTCACGCTGTGTACTATAGTATCCTTTTTAATCAATAGATTCGCCAGACCGTGTATAATGTGTGTGTGCCAGGGAGCTACATCATGGTTTACCATACATCATCAGTACATTGTTGTAGTGTGAGCCATGGCTTGGTGAAATTCAGATAGAAGTGACTAGCCGCTGCAGTCAGACACGGAGCATGTAGTGTGTTGTGATGTCTATTTCACAAGTCACCAAAATGTGTCAGTAATGAGACTCCGGCATCCCTGCTATGCACATCGTCGGTTTCAATCAACCCCCTGTCAGTTGGACACATGCAGTCTGAATCCTCACGACAGAGGTAATAGCAGTCTGCCCTACCTGTCCAGTCCCGGCTCCTTGACTGGGCACTTAATGGTCAGCCTCCCCTCAGGCATGACTTTAAGGAGGTCACTAACAAGAGCCAGGGTTACTCAGTGGACGAATATGTATACATTGGAATAACAACAAGCAGGGCAAAGATACAACGGATGGGACAGTGTGCAGTGAGACCCTCTCTCGCTCTCCCTCACATGTGTATGTGCGGCTGCTTGTACTAGCCCAGAAGCTGGTTTTATAGTGCTAGCCCACTAAGATACCATGCCGCAGTGAAGCATGAATACCCCACTCAGACACATTATACTGACTCCGAGCCGACCAGTCCTTGTTGTACCCATTAATGCCGAGCGCCAGGCAGGGACAAACAAGTACCATGTTTTAACGTCTTTTGGTATGACGCAGTCTGGGATCGAACCCGCTACCTTCCGCTCTCCGGGCGGACGCTCTAACCACTACACCACGGAGGCGGTGGGCCTAGATTTAAACAAAAGGCTTTATACATATCAACTGCGCGGTTGTACAGGAGATGTTACGACCGACCTCTAGGGTGTTATTGCCATAGAGCAGTAGTGAGAGGTAGCAGACAATCCACCAATTGTCCCACAACGCTGTACAGCCAGTAACACTAACCAGACTGGATACCATAACACACGGCTGTCATTATATCTTACTGTCGTACTCTGACATTGTGTAGCGTATTTACTATTAACGTACGGCTGGCGTGAGTACGGTTTTACGTCGCCCTGTTATACTGGATCAACTCGAAAATTAAATGTATCTTTTCATACATCTACAGAGAAACTTGCTTTCATTCACAATATACTAAATATATGGGACACCTCCAGACCAGTCGATGGTGACTACCCGACACAGGGACACTTTCACATATATTGTGACCAGGTCATCAAACCGGTTAAATGTTGATGTTTAGTTTCTGACTTTCAATGTAAGTATGAAACATATCTAAATGGAATGTTTTTCGGGTTGACAGAATCATGTGCAATGCTCCTACATGACGTAGTGACTCGGTCTACAGAACGTCATCTTGACAATTGTGCAATAACCAGGCCTACCAAAGAAAACTTTCCCACTGTGGAGAAAAATGCAGAAAAGCCCACATTAATCGTGGAAATAGCAACATAAACATAATACCTCGCTACCGAAACAGTAAAAACGGCAACGAAAGACCATGAAAGCAAACTTTGACCTTTACTGCGCATGCGCGTTACGATCCGAGTTCCTTTAAAATTTCCGAACAACCGTGAATCGCCACGCGTTGAAAAATGATTTTATATGTCGAAATAATTGCTGTCAATCATTTTACAAGTGTGCACACAAGTATGATGACGATAAATGCCAAATAACACAACAGAAATACTTTGAAAAGGGAATGTAAGTTTTGTCCAAGCTGCAAAATGTCCACATGCGGTGGAGCCTTCTTCTTCAATGTGCGCATGCGCAAAATCGAAGTTGCAGGCTCTTCGTTTTATGATCCAGTTTTAGCGATTTAAAGTGGCCGTTTTTACTGTTTGAGAAGCGAGGTATTATGTTTATGTTGCTATTTCCACGATTAATGCGGACCCTTCAGCGTTTTTCTGCACTGTGGTAAAGTTCTTTGGTAGTCCTGAATAGCTATAGAAGGCTGGTTTATCTATTCAGAAACTATGGTCTTGATGCAAGTGCATGAAGATGACTTCAGAGTACAAGATCACTGGGAAGCAGTGCTGCACTGCGCCGTTACTCATCACGTCAGACAGGAAACATGTTCCAAAATATGGTGGTCGCACGAGTCTGACCGCCACCTCACCCCGCCACACGATGACCCAACCTACAGAGTGACCTCGGAACTAAACAACAATAAATCACATCTCAAGATTTTGTCTTTTAGTGACACGGTCAAAGGAATTTACACATGCAAAGCTAAATGTGGGAACAGCACATATGGCATCCGCTGCCTGATTGAAGGAGTCCCACACAAAAGTATGTATTGTTGATATGATAAGTTGAATTTCGATTAAGTACAATTTTAGCAGAGACACAAGCATCCCCATTTGAATAGTGAAGAAGCCAAAGTGAACTGTGAGATTAAGAGTTGCTTCATTCAGGGCGTTTTCGTTGCAGAATGGGATGGATTGAACATAAATTATTTTAATTCCGAAACTGTCAGACAGACAACTCAACGTAGGATTTCGTATTCCATAGCTACAATCATAATATTCCATACTGTTCAAGTCTACATGTAAATGTTACTAACTACATCCTAATCGATCCTTGTTGTAAAATATGCCAGTGAAAGGTTGCGTGCTGCAGCCATACTGTAAGGTATTAACAATCTTCAACAATAAACTGGTCCTGGACGTCAATTAAAGTACAGGGACAGAACAGGGATTTGTATGAAAACAATGAGCATTAATAAGTGTATCAGGTTCAGTTTGGTATATTGCAGTTATTTCGTCAGTATTAATATGAACAATGGTTTACAGGGTTTTATCGCCAGGTGTCAATGGTCATTTCAGATCGCAGTTCTTTGTGTTCCGAAAAGAAATTCAGCGCAAATAACATCGCTGCTTCAACGGCTGACTCGGACGAGGAGAGTCACACTGGAGTGTATTTCGTCACAGCTATCGGGGCCATAGTCTCCTGTGCCGTGGTCATCACGGGGCTACTACGGTGGCTTCACAAGCGTCACCAGACCCAGAAACACTACCGACAGATTGTTCAGAACATGTCTCGACTACCCAGCCAGGCTGCGTCCACGCCAGGCCATGAAAGACGTGACTTCCCGGTTCGGAACGTCGTTCTGCCCCCAATGCCCCAATCAATATTTGGACACATGCCCAGTCAGGTTTTATACCAGCACTTGTCGGATGGGTCACAGATTGTATTCATACCTGCATCAAAACTTCCGAGTTATGAAGAATCACTTTCACTTCAGACAGGACCATCACCAAGCCCTGGAGGTGTTGCCTCAGTATTCGAAACCTCCACATCACGTGTTCATCCTAAGTGCGAGTCAAGTGAAACATCTAGAGGGAGGATGTCTGGAAGTGAGGCTTCAGCTGCAAGTCTGCCTCCTAGCTATACGAGTACATTTGAGGGTCTGAGAGATCAAGAGACAAACAGTGACCTCGATATATCTTCGGATCAGGATGAAGAGAATCAGGAACCAGATCAGCCAACATCAGCACCTATTGGAGTGCACATGACCCATTCGCCACTATTACAACCCCTGCACATGAGGACTTGAATCCCCAAACGAATGGCTTGCCGCAATACTCTTGCTTCCAGTCAGTGATATTCCTACGTGGTCAAGGCAAGACTCTCACCATCACTGGATTATTTGCACATTAATTAAAGTTTGAACAATATCTTTAAAGAAAAATAAAGGCAGAGGTTGACTAAAGTATATGTGCAACTGAATTTACGTTTGTATTTACCGGAGTTGTCTATACATGACATGACGAAATATATACTAGTAGGTTATATGTCGGTGTATGCAATAATCTGGATTTATATGTTTATCATAGTAAATAATGTACTGTTACAAACTGCCTGTGTCATTTGTTGTTACAAGGCACACGCGCACATACACGGTCATGACTGCCAGATACGGAAAGATTTGCAGACAGACAGACAATATTTTATTTACGTCTCACTTCTTTTCATGAAATAATATTTACAAACATTCAAAAGAGTAAATGTACAGAACCATTCAGAGAGAATTATGAGAGACAAAAATCATTATAAAAACCTCTAGATTATCAACACATTATTTAGCATAAATAATGATTTTCTTTCTGTTAAGGATTAAAAAGCATAATTTGGCAAAAACATAACAAAGATTATTATTGTTGAATAGAAAAATATAACTTGTCGATATCAGGTTTATATAAAAAACCTCTACAAAAATTAACACAATCATTTAAAAGTAAATGTTGTCATATATTACACAGTGAAACAATACATGTAATTCATCTTCAATATCATTAGGACATTTATGATTTCCTATTTTCTAAAAGAATATTTTCATAACGAACAGTTTCAGTTCACTTGCTGTCACAGATCTGTAGTGTCTTGGCAAATAATTCTTATAGTCACTATACAACCTTGCGGCCCGCTCTTCCTTCCGGTTTAGTTAACTGGTCATACCAACATGTCACATACTCATTCATGATAACATTCTCAACAAAAAATAAATAAGTAGACAATTTATGAACATTAACGGGTGTGTCTAAAATGTGTTGTAAGCCAGGATCTTTTTCCTTAATCCAAAATTCCAATTTTAACACATCTATCAGCCCACATGAAAACATGATTATTTAATCCACCTTCCATGTTATGGAATCGACGCCAATTTCTAGCAATACAGGACCACTGTCTAAACTTGGAGATGAACGAACCTTGTTGGTTGATTTAGCTGCTGCACGTGTCATTGCAGAAAAATCTAAAACTTCAGAAAACAACAAACCTAGATAATGATAACTATTTACAACCCGTAAAACTTGCTCTCCAGCAGTGAAAACATACTTCGTCTGCATAGTAGACGGTGTTCTAAAATGTACAATTTTAAATTTATCAATGTTTATCTCCAATTTATTTGTAAAGCACCAGTTATGTAAAACATCTAACGTTAAGATCATCTTCATTCTCTGCTATCAGAGCTAGGTCGTCAGCATATACTGAAGTTGCTATATCTACATTGTCTATATTTACAACAAGGATAACATTATTGAGGGTTTGTAATAAACCGTCAATAAAAAGATTAAAAAGTATAGGAGGCAACAGACATCTTTGTTTTAGACCACGATTAACATTGAACCATGAAAACCATTCACTCGCACACAACAATTGACATCTTTATAGACTAAACTCACTCACCCTTTGTTTTTCTATCCCATAATATTATCGTATCGAGCCAATCGTAAGTGTTCTTAAAATCTATAAACGCAACAAATGTAGTTTTTTTCAGATTTTCTTGTTTCTAAAATAGATGATAACATACATGGTCTATAGTTGGTCTCTTCTGTCTGGAACCGTTCAGAGAATCATGTAGTATACCGTTGCTTTCTGTCCACACGTGTAGTCTCCTGTTCAGAATGCTACTATATGATTTGTATATTGACGGGGTCAGTGTGATGCCCCGATATGAGAGGGGGTCTCTCGGGTCCTAGTGGCACATTTTGGGATCGGGGTAATGATACCCTGTGACCACAGTTTTGGTATTTTCCGGTGGGAAACACAAGTTGAATAGTTTGTGGGGTGTCTCTATGATGATCTTCGATTTCAGGTCCATTGGGATCGCAATACCTGGGGCTTTCCCTTTACGGGAGTTGTCTATTGCTGTCTGTAGTTCAAACAAACTGATCTCGTTAAACAGTTGACAGTCACTCTGGTTATCTTCCTGTGTCCCGGTACGTGTCTCGGATTCTGTGGCACCATTTAGTAACTCATTTTAGTGACATTTGCATGCCTTTGTTGTTGTTTTTTAAAAAAAGAAACTGCTCATCTAACCACACAAGGGTGTATATTAACAAGAATCCCACTGAAACAGATGACAAGATGTATACTTGTACTGGTTGGGACAAATGCCAGTTATATAGTGTTGGCCTCCAACTCAGGTGCCATGCCACACTGTGACAGGGTACGATGTCTCCGCCGATTACAGGATAATAACGGGTATCATCTTATAACGGGGATTGAACCCCGACCTTCCTCTCACAGCCGCTCGATCCACTGTACCACTGCACTCCGATTTGTTTAACCTGATCATGTGGACATCCCTATAGATCAGCATGGCCACATACTTCTTACACTTTTAACAGATTTTAAGGGATATTGATTAAATCCCCCAGAAGCCGAGTTGGGATTTCGAATGAGGTGCTTCCTGTCGCTCTCTGTCAGGGTGTCACTGAACGACATTTACAGTCTCTTGAATATAATCTAGAGGGGTGTTTCAGTTACATACATATTGTAAGTAATTGGTATGTTGGCAGTGCAACTGGTGATGAGCCCAATGAAGAATTTTTAGCTGGTTACATATCTTTTAAAACGCTGATTTTCGGTGTCAGAGTTTAAGTCTCCAAAACCTGGAGTTATAGACGTTTTATTATCTCTCGATGTTTCCGAAGAAACGGGGATTGATAATAATAACAATTGTGTTCTGAAGTGTTTACCAGTACAATTTCTTTATGTAATTTCTTTTCGTCTGTATAAACTGCACATGTCACCGATATAGAAATGTTTCTTTGCAATTCCAGTACATAGAAAAATAATGCTCTTGACACTCGACGATACATTCCTGTCCGCGGTTTGTAAAAGTGTTTAAACATTCGTCACTTCTTTTCATACATAATGGATCAGCTGAAGATTCTATTGTGGCTTAACTGGCACGTTTATAATATTTGATTGCTGAGACAATGGATCATGATAAAAAGGTAAAGCCTGGATCTGAAATGAAACAAATTTTCATGTGAGAACGTTTACCCTGACATGTAAATATATACCCTTCTCAGTCCAAGCATCTATTTATTTACGCGTAAAAGGTCCACAAACACAACAGAGTTTATTTATTTTCAACTGTATTTTGTGATAGGTCATTATTTGGTGGATACACACATACACACACGCACGCGCACGCGCGCGCGCACACACACACACACACACTCACCACACACACATATACTTTACACTGTTGAACTACGCCACTCTCACTCTCTGTATATGCGTGTGTGCGTGCGTGCGTGTGTGTGCGTGCGTGCGTGCGTGCCATTTGTCTTACATTCTTAACTGTTAGATACAGCTGATACCGTCCGCCATTTTATAGTAATGTTTTAGATGTTTAAATATGCTAATTAACGTAATATTATTCGAAATGAAATATGTATTAAGCTTTCATTCCTTAAGTTCTATCCTCTACAAACAAAATACAACAGTAATCGGGTAAGTGTCGTTACGGTTACTGACAGTTACAAAGCAGGATAGAGTGACATAAGATGCATATATGCATTCATCAAGTCTATGGCGCTCGGTGAAGTCTACGGTTCAGCGGCCTCAGTGGTTTGGCCCAAGATGATAGATTTATGTAATACAACAGCATGTTACGTATCGACGTATCACGACGGTCACGGTGCACATGAACACATTGCATCACCCAAAGTCAAGTCCGGTTGGGGAGATTACTGAAAGAAAGTCCAGCTTCTTCACTGGTTGTTGACACCACGACTGGCCGTAACAGATCCCGTTCTTTCCAGAGCACGTGTCAAAATACTGATCATAATCAAGCGATTTTTCTCTTGTGTGACCCACGTATATCTATTTATGATATAGAAAATGTAACGTTATCTCGAAAATGTCATTTTTAAAACAATCAAACATAAAACAATATAAACGTCATGTGGGGAAATGTTCTCACGATTTACCGGGACCTTTGTACTAAAGTGTTTCGAGCAAGGAGACTTAGCATAGATGGAACTTAGTATGAATATTTCCGCAAACCCAGGCTAAACCGTCAGCGTGTCAAAGCAGCTATTTATTTGCCTGGGGAATGCAGATTCTCTTGGCGATGTAGGTAGTATTGAATAACCATAGTTTTCTCGGCAGTTTTCTGGTGAGTCAATAATGAAGCATACAACTTTATGGATAGCTACTTGTGTATTGCATAGAACGACGTTTCCGTGTAGATTCTCACACCATTATCAAGCTATCTTAGCTTGTGTATTGCATAGAACGACGTTTCCGTGTAGATTCTCACACCATTATCAAGCTATCTTAGCTTGTGTATTGCATAGAACGACGTTTCCGTGTAGATTCTCACACCATTATCAAGCTATATTAGCTTGTTTATTGCATAGAGCGACGTTTCCGTGTAGATTCTCACACCATTATATCAAGCTATATTAGCTTGTTTATTGCATAGAACGACGTTTCCGTGTAGATTCTCACACCATTATCAAGCTATATTAGCTTGTTTATTGCATAGAGCGACGTTTCCGTGTAGATTCTCACACCATTATCAAGCTATCTTAGCTTGTTTATTGCATAGAGCGACGTTTCCGTGTAGATTCTCACACCATTATCAAGCTATATTAGCTTGTTTATTGCATAGAGCGACGTTTCCGTGTAGATTCTCACACCGTTATCAAGCTATATTAGCTTGTTTATTGCATAGAGCGACGTTTCCGTGTAGATTCTCACACCATTATCAAGCTATATTAGCTTGTTTATTGCATAGAGCGACGTTTCCGTGTAGATTCTCACACCATTATCAAGCTATATTAGCTTGTTTATTGCATAGAGCGACGTTTCCGTGTAGATTCTCACACCATTATCAAGCTATATTAGCTTGTTTATTGCATAGAGCGACGTTTCCGTGTAGATTCTCACACCATTATCAAGCTATATTAGCTTGTTTATTGCATAGAGCGACGTTTCCGTGTAGATTCTCACACCATTATCAAGCTATATTAGCTTGTTTATTGCATAGAGCGACGTTTCCGTGTAGATTCTCACACCATTATCAAGCTATATTAGC